CAGCTAATGTCACATGTCAGCATGAGCTGATGTCACATGTCAGCACCAGCTAATGTCACATGTCAGCACCAGCTAATGTCACATGTCAGCATGAACTGATGTCGCATGTCAGCACCAGCTAATGTCACATGTCAGCATGAGCTGATGTCACATGTCAGCACCAGCTAATGTCACATGTCAGCATGAGCTGATGTCACATGTCAGCATGAGCTGATGTCACATGTCAGCACCAGCTAATGTCACATGTCAGCATGAGCTGATGTCACGTGTCAGCACCAGCTAATGTCACATGTCAGCATGAGCTAACCTTTCTTCAGTAAGCAAAACTGTACCTAAAGAGAAACTTCAGCAGAGCTGCTGATATCCTTATCCACACAGGATTGCCAAGTTATACTAGGCTGGTGAATCTGTTATTTCTTTGGGGGTTGAACTGGGTATTTTTGGGATCTGTCTATTGGCTTGCCATCCCTAGTGATCAAAAATTCAAGTATCAGCCAGAGGGTTCACAATGGAAGGAAATTTGTAAATAACATAATCATTTTTTCCTCGGCTTTCTTTCATCCAATAATTGTTTTAGGCATAATTGCCTTGTTCCTACTTACAATAAGAATCGATATTGGCACTTTGTGCCTGGCACATTCAACTTCTCCGGGTATCTTTTATCTGGGTGAGCTTTCCCAGAGATAGATATGATTATTTGAGAGTGAAGAAGAAAAAGAAAAGGGCAGAAAAGGTGAAAAAAATAAAAAAAAAGTTTTTATATTCCAGCCATGTTACTGATTTTCATCTGTTCTATTTATCTGCACAGGTATCTGCCAAGTCGTTGCGTGGGGAGGGTCCACGCACCCCGGCTGTCCAGGTTCAAACACCCCCATTTAGTGAGTATCCGCATGTGGGACTTCACCACCTACATTTGCTGTTGCCTAGGCTATTTATAGATACTATGTTTTATATTGACTTTTCGTGGTCATTCTTGAAATGTAAACTATTAGTATTGTTTGCCATCCTTTCCTACAGTGTTAAGTATTATTTATTGTTTCACTCCTAGTGAAAACATTTCACAAATTTGCTTGTGCCTATAAAAAATATGAAATAGTTTACAAAAAACAAAAATAAAACTTTTTTCATTATTATTTGTGTATAATATTAATGTTATATGCCTGAAAATTGTAATGCATTTGAATATATGATACACACCACTGAGATACGATTAATTACGCTAAAGTTATTTATTACTGTTTTATTACTGTCCATAGTAAATAGTACATTCTAGATTTTACGTAGTAAATAACATAATCACAACTTAAAAAGTGTTTTGAATTAAAAAGATAATTTAGTTTTGTAAGTGTTAAAAACACACTATTTTTACACTGGACATGTGGCATGCACATGGAGAGGTCATCAAAAGTGTCATTTGACAAAGCCAGATTTTTTAAAAGTTGTGGCCTAATTCTGCATTAGCTAAACAGTGAATTCTCCAACAGCTATGCAACACATTGCTGTCATTGTCTAAAGAGTTGACTATGATGAAATAAATTAGATTATTTGAATATTGACATGTACGTTAATTGTTATATTAGCTTTCTAATCTTGTGTTTTTGATGTGATTGACACAGCCAGACCTCTCTGTGTAGTTTTGTGTATGTGTATTTGTGATTTGGATCCTCTGGTCATTTGTCCTGATGGTGCCCAGTATTAATCAGTGTTTGTTTTTCTTCAGAATGTCCATCTGTGATATCCACATACCACACATCACACACTTTCCACCATGAATTAACATCACAGTGCACCAATACAAATTTGCAAACTATAATCTGACCTCATATGGTCTATGTACTGTGCATAATAGCATGCCATTACACATTTTTTTTTTTTATGGTAGCATGAATGTAATTTTAATTGTGTACTTATGTAATTAGTATAATATATAATTACATTTTGTTTTGTTTCAATATCATGTGCCACTTCGAATAGCATTTATTTCACCTAAAAATACAGGAAGGCGTGTTCAGTTGTGTGTGAGCAGGTTTTCTTTTCTTATTAGTTGACCTACATAGATCTGATTTCTCCCAGTTTGTGTACACATAAAATATGAATAGGAGTTTTGGTTTGGAAGCAGTCACTGCAGCCTTTTGCTGACGTGAGCACCAGCAATGGTCAGCATCACTTCAGAGGTCCTTAACATCACTCACTTCAGAGGTCCTTAGCATCACTTCGGACGTCCTTAGCATCTATCACTTCAGAGGTCCTTAGCATCGATCACTTCAGAGGTCCTTAGCATCACTTCAGAGGTCCTTAGCATCACTTCAGAGGTCCTTAGCATCGATCACTTCAGAGGTCCTTAGCATCACTCACTTCAGAGGTCCTTAGCATCACTTCAGAGGTCCTTAGTATCGATCACTTCAGAGGTCTTTAGCATCACTTCAGAGGTCCTTAGCATCGATCACTTCAGAGGTCCTTAGCATCACTCACTTCAGAGGTCCTTAGCATCACTTCGGACGTCCTTAGCATATATCACTTCAGAGGTCCTTAGCATCGATCACTTCAGAGGTCCTTAGCATCTATCACTTCAGAGGTCCTTAGCATCTATCACTTCAGAGGTTCTTAGCATCACTCACTTCAGAGGTCCTTAGCATCAATCACTTCAGAGGTCCTTACCATCAATCACTTCAGAGGTCCTTAGCATCAATCACTTCAGAGGTCCTTAGCTGTTGTCCTCTCCTGGTTACTGTTGTAGTTGTACCTTAGAGTATTTTGTTTAGTTCTATAGCCATTGTGCACTCAGAATCTTGATGTCTTCAAAAAACTGCCAGTAAGATGACGTGTGAGGATTTGAACCAGTCACCTCTATGATAATAGCTGATTGTGCTGTCACACTCTATAGTGATACTAGATGTTGATGGGATTTGCACAGATGAATGCCCAGTGTAGTTCCCCAGAAATGGAACAGTTTACTTGTTTCGTTTGTCTTCTTATTCTTCTTCTTAGCATTCTGTGGCTGTTCCGGGCTTTAGTCTTGCTCCAGAACTGGAGTTTTGCATCCACACCCATTTTACACATCAGCCTTATATGTGTGTGCAGACTCCTGGTTCCTTGCCTCAGACTTCAAAGGAAACACTCCTGATTGGTCACCTTTTACGACATGCTTAGTGGTTGATTGTTTCTGTTCTTTTCCTCCAAACAGGGAGCCCTGGAAACCGCATATGGATTTAGTTTCAGTGCTTTGTTTTAAAATATGGTTTCTTTGTCACTAAAGTCCCTTTGTTTCATCCAATAGTTTCAACCATCCCTCTAAATTTGATCAGCCATTAGACAATATAATATATAGTGTAATCAACAAACTGTTAGTATAGGAACAAATTTTCAACGATTCCGTTGTAATGAAAATACTGTACTCATGGTTCCCTGCATTGTATATTCATTCTTTCACTTCACTTTACACATTCTTTCAGTTCCCTTTACACATTCTTTCATTTTACTTTACACATTCTTTCAGTTCACTTTACACATTCTTTCAGTTCACTTTACACATTCTTTCAGCTCACTTTACACATTATTTCAGCTCACTTTACACATTCTTTCAGTTCACTTTACACATTCTTTCAGCTCACTTTACACATTCTTTCAGTTCACTTTGCACATTCTTTCAGTTTACTTTACACATTCTTTCAGTTTGCATATTCTTTCAGTTCACTTTACACATTCTTTCAGTTCACTTTACACATTCTTTCAGTTCACTTTACACATTCTTTCAGTTCACTTTACACATTCTTTCAGCTCACTTTACACATTCTTTAGTTCACTTTGCACATTCTTTCAGCTCACTTTACACATTCTTTCAGTTTACTTTACACATTCTTTCAGCTCACTTTACACATTCTTTCAGGTCACTTTACACATTCTTTCAGCTCACTTTACACATTCTTTCAGTTTACTTTACACATTCTTTCAGTTTACTTTACACATTCTTTCAGTTTACACATTCTTTCAGCTCATTTTACAAATTGTTTCAGCTCACTTTATACATTCTTTCAGTTCACTTTACACATTCTTTCAGCTCACTTTACACATTGTTTCAGCTCACTTTACACATTCTTTCAGCTCACTTTACACATTCTCTCAGTTTACTTTACACATTCTTTCAGTTCACTTCACATTTTCTTTCAGTTCACTTTATACTTTCTTTCAGTTCACTTCACACTTTCTTTCAGTTCACTTCACACTTTCTTTCATTTCACTTCAGACATTCTTTCAGTTCATGTTTATAAAGGAGCATGTCAGATGTTACTTTATGTTATCTCTGAACACATTAGAGGCCATCAGATATTTTTTGACTGCTTCCGGTTGAAAATCATGCAAACTATTGATCACATCCTAGTCCTGCATGAATGGCATTTTATCATATCCTAGCAAAATATATATTTTATCACATTGTAGCCATACTTTTATTGTTTTCATTTTTTTAAATCTTAGCCATATATTTATTTTATCATATGCTAGCCAAACATTTACTTTATCATATTGTACCTAGATTTGTATTCTGTCATTTTGTTTAAAAACAGATATCATTTAATCAGACCAAATATTTCACCATGCCCTTTTTCAAAAAAGATATATATTGTATTATTTAATCAAACCATAAATTTTATAACATCTTAGCTGTACAACATTCTAGCCACACAGGTTGTGTATAACAACCCAGTCACTCACTCACTCATTTACTCATTCATATTTCGTGAGTCAAACATTTCTCCTTTTATCACCCACAATTATGTGTTTTGTGTATGTGTGTGTGTGCGTGCACTTTATCATCTACAATAATTGTTTATGTAGAGATACATTTTATTATTTGATTTATTATTCCATATTCTTGATCATATATTATGTTAAGTCACATGCTTGTTTTCTCTGATCAGACTTTGTTTGTTTCTTATTTGGTTAATTCTATGATGCCCTTTGTGTTTGTCCCTAACCTCTAATGAGCTATACTTACCCACTAGTTCCTGAAGCACCACCTACAGATGTCACAGCAACTGCTGTTGGCTCAAAGGAAATCAGAGTTACCTGGAAGCCGCCAGAGGGTAAAAAACAAAATGGCAAATTGGAAGGTTATAAGGCTTTTGTGCAAGAGAATGGAAAACCTGACAGAGATGCCGTGGTCAAGACGGTGGCTGGAAACCAGATATCAGTGAACGTTGACGGTCTGAAGATTTGGACTAACTATAAAGTCTGGGTGTTGGCTTTTACCAGGGTCGGAGATGGTCCACATTCGGCTCCAGTGATCGTCAGAACCGATGAAGACGGTAGGTAGCTGAAAATGGTTGTTTTCTTCCTTGCTGTCCTGACATGGCTGGTGTATGGAATGGCTATAATAACAATTTCTGGCTATTGTTTCCTGATGCATTCTCCTCTTCTGGCTTGCCCCATGTGTGTCCCACATTGTGGGCTGTTAGTTCTAATGCTCCTAGAAACCTGCTGAACCAACTTTCCTTGTGTCTAACTTTTCTTATAACCAGACTAACTTCAGAACTAAAGGTGGTTGGTTATCGTAAGCAGATGGTGCACTCTATGTAGACTACTAATTCAGACTAACTTTCTAGCCTTGAAGATTTTTGCTGTAAGCGTAAGTAACTGTTAGTGCACAGAGTTCTCTGGCATGAGATGAATGTGTTCAACAACTATCTAAATCTCTTAGTGTCACCTCCTCTGTATCTCTGCAGTGTTTCTATGACTCCGTCACCTAGATCTTCTGCGATATTTATCTGATGCCCAGTTTCCTATCATCTTTAGCCAGCTGGAGATGTCAACCTGGCGATGACATTTTTTAAATGATGAGCGTGTTTCCTGTTTATTATCTTTTTAATCTTTCTTGTCTCGAAGGCCTTCTATACTCAGATAATTTCCTCTTTTACACTGTGTAGGTACTTATCAATCAATACAATATGTTCACTAACCTGTTTCTTTTAATGTCCTGAGAAATATCACAATAGTTTGTATTAGGTATATCATCATCTGGACCCTCTATCCAGTTCAGTCTGTGGTGAATAAACAGTTATCTTCTAACTGTAGCAAGACACTTGTTGGTCTCTAGGTCCAGTCTCTGTGTTTTAATGCCTGCTCTACTGCTGCCTGTTCAGAGGTTGCTGGGAATTTAGTGGGTACTTGACCATTCACTTTTACATCCTGCTGTACATGTTTGAGATATAATCATGCTGGTCATAAAATCTGCACAGTTGTCTGTTCTTGGCAGCTCATTGCCATTCTTATGAAAGTGCATTCCCTTTGTAGCTGTTTACTAAACTAAGAGAGTAAGTTGTTAACTGACTAAACTAACAGAGTGAGATGTTAACTGACTAAACTAACATAGTGAGTTGTTAACTGACTAAACTTAACAGTTATTTGTTAACTGACTAAACTAACAGAGTTAGTTGTTAACTGACTAAACTAACAGTGAGTTGTTAACTGACTAAACTAACAGAGTTAGTTGTTAACTGACTTAACTAACAGAGTGAGTTGTTAACTGACTAAACTTAACAGTTATTTGTTAACTGACTAAACTAACATAGTGAGTTGTTAACTGACTAAACTAACATAGTGAGTTGTTAACTGACTAAACTAACATAGTGAGTTGTTAACTGACTAAACTAACAGTTAGTTAGTTGTTAACTGACTAAACTAACAGTGAGTTGTTAACTGACTAAACTAACATAGTGAGTTGTTAACTGACTAAACTAACAGAGTGAGTTGTTAACTGACTAAACTAACAGAGTGAGTTGTTAACTGACTAAACTAACATAGTGAGTTGTTAACTGACTAAACTTAACAGTTATTTGTTAACTGGCTAAACTAACAGAGTTAGTTGTTAACTGACTAAACTAACAGTTATTTGTTAACTGGCTAAACTAACAGAGTTAGTTGTTAACTGACTAAACTAACAGTGAGTTGTTAACTGACTAAACTAACAGAGTTAGTTGTTAACTGACTTAACTAACAGAGTGAGTTGTTAACTGACTAAACTAACAGAGTTAGTTGTTAACTGACCAAACTAACAGAGTTAGTTGTTAACTGACTAAACTAACATAGTGAGTTGTTAACTGACTAAACTAACAGAGTGAGTTGTTAACTGACTAAACTAACAGTGAGTTGTTAACTGACTAAACTAACAGAGTGAGTTGTTAACTGACTAAACTAACAGAGTGAGTTGTTAACTGACTAAACTAACAGAGTGAGTTGTTAACTGACTAAACTAACAGAGTTAGTTGTTAACTGACTAAACTAACAGTGAGTTGTTAACTGACTAAACTAACAGAGTGAGTTGTTAACTGACTAAACTAACAGTGAGTTATTAACTGACTAAACTAACAGTGAGTTGTTAACTGACTAAACTAACAGAGTGAGTTGTTAACTGACTAAACTAACAGAGTGAGTTGTTAACTGACTAAACTAACAGAGTTAGTTGTTAATTGACTTAACTAACAGAGTGAGTTGTTAACTGACTAAACTAACAGTTAGTTATTTGTTAACCAACTAAACTAACAGAGTGAGTTGTTAACTGCTGAAGATGTCTATAGTAGCTTATCTTGTCTAGTTACAAGTGTAAGGTGTTTGAAGTCAAGGTGCTCTGAGATTGAGAAAAAACTCTGTACAGGGGTGCCTGTTAGGGATCAATGTACTTTAGATGGCCAAAGATTCTAGTATGCCCTCTTCACTGATGAATAATCGAACTGGTTTTTTGCATTTGGTTGAGACATTGAGATTTTTTGAGGCATGTATTCCATTTGTGTCCATCTGTTTAACCAGTCTATTCTGATGTTTCTAAGAATAGTTTGGATCTCTTGGGGTATGCATTTCCTTGCACGGTGATTTCAGATGAGTTTTCCTCTTTTTTTAACTTCTGTTGGATACAAAGATAATAGTCCTATATTTGCTTCTTCTTCTGAGTCTAAAGTTGCTTTTGAAAGGGTGGCTGGCATGTTGCATCATAGTTTACAGCTTAGCTGTGATATCTACACCTTTCTTCCCAGCAAATCTGGTTTCAGAGATCTTGAATTAGTCGCCTTGATCAGCGTGCTAGTTAGGGGGCGGGGCATCCATTCCTTCTTGTGTGTCCCTCCATCCATCCAAGGACCCACGTTGGACATTTTGTGTATACAATATCACCTCATACATTTATTCTCGTATCTTTCTTGGATTACCCCAGGCTACACAGGGTTCACAACTTCTTTCTGAAAGTAACATCAAAAAGTTTTTACCAGAGCAAAGCTAAATCTGATGGAGAGTTCATTTTCGTTTAGCAGCTAAAAGGTATGCTGCCACACCATATGGATTTTGTCAGAATAGTGAACCAGGGATTGGACAGTCCTGGTAGCTGGCGGTCTGCTTGGATGTCTTGTACAGCCAGTCAGTATCAGTCTGAGGCTTTATGTTTGGAGAACCCAAAATTTGGATTTGAAGTCAGGTTGATAATTGTTTACCTCAACAAGGACATTGTGAGAGTGGTCAGTGTTTTCAATCTGGGAGGTCGCCAGGACAATACATTTACAACACACTCTACTGTTGTGGTTGTTCCCAACAGTCTTAGTCGAGGTTTGTTTCAGTTTCCCCATACCTGCTCCCTTCCTGTGTCAGTACAAATCAAATGAAATGTCCCTCACTGTTGTATTTAAAAAAACTGATGAACAAACAAATAGTCCCAGAACAGTCCAGAAACAGATCAACAGTACTGATGTTTATGCTCTTGGAAATGTTAGGTCAATGGCTGTTAGCTGTAAGAATTCACAGTACGTCAGTCTGAATAGTACAGGAAGAAGTCAGAGAGGTTGGACAGTTGCAAGCTGAGCTGTTGAAGACAATTCCAGTTGCATCTCAAAGGAAAACGAACATGACAACTTTGTGAACCCAGTGAAATGGAGATTATATTAGACATACAACTTGCCAAACACCAACCCATTTACATAAATAATTCTTTCAATCAGCCTTTCTACTCACAGTTGAAACGTTTCTATTACTTTGTACCTTTGATTCAGGTTTTTGTTTCAACCTGTGTTGCAAAACAATGAAATCTGAGTTCCTTTTATTGTTTTCTAGATTGTAGAAACTCAGTATTCACATTCACCTTCATTTGTATTTCCTTTGGTTTTGAGCATAGTGTTAATTTCAGTCTCATTATTCATTGCATTTATACACTGGAAGATTTTGGGAAGAGGGTAGCATGGCTCAGTAATGCGTATGAGCATCAATCTCATCAAATCTTGTACTAACTCATCTTTCAGTTCCATTTGTTAATAACATTTCCAATGTTTCACCATCAAATCAGGGGCTCATGTTTTGGTTTCCATTTGTTCTTACCATTCTCAGCAATCGCTCATCCCATCTTGTACTTATATTTCAGTTCCATTTGTTCTTACCATTCTCAGCAATCGCTCATCCCATCTTGTGCTTATATTTCAGTTCCATTTGTTCTTACCATTCTCAGTAATCGCTCATTCCATCTTGTGCTTATATTTCAGTTCCATTTGTTCTTACCATTCTCAGTAATCGCTCATTCCATCTTGTACTCATCCTGTAGTTCTGTGTTTTCATAATATTCTTAATGATCGCTCATTTATCTGAACAAACCTTATTGTCGGAGCACCTGCTTGCTCATTGTCTTTACCTTACCCTACAAGTTGTCTGTCGAGCCAACCAACATTAGTGGCAATACTGTAAGTACATGATGCTACTATGAGATTTATCTAGTTGTTGTTTTTTCCTGCACATTTGATATTGTGGTTATGTTGCATGATTTGTTGTTTATTCTGATGTTTGTATTTTGTTGATTATCTTCACTGCTCGCTGTTTATTGCACTGCCAGATTTGTATTTGTATTATTAGCACTAGTTACTTGTCTTGCAAAATTGCCAGGTAGCTGAAGACAGTTTTTAGTATGTAGAGTTTTGTCATTTTGCATTTAAATTTCTTTTTGATTTATTTCTCTACTTTCAGATTGCTTTTTTTCTTTGATTCTAATTTGAATTTGGTTGAAATGTATTCTTTTAGTTTCGCCTTTATTTGAAATAAGGAGAAAATTATAAATGGCTTTTCATGTATTAATTTTTTTTTCATAAAAAAATTTTTTTTAACTTGTTTTCTTTAACAATTATTTCACGTATTGATGGTCTGTATTTTGCACAGGAGATTTGCAAATATGAACATTTTGGATAAGAAACAAAGTATTTGTGGTGGATCTTTTTAAGCAAATAAACATAGGTTGCTTGTAGTGACTGACCAGATCTAGGGAAAAACAAGACCACGTGCTAGCATATAAGATATATGCAGTCTTGTTTATTACATTTTTTAGTAATTACAAAATACGGTATAGAAGGGACAAAGTTAGATTCCAAACTCATGTTTAGAATTTGTGTGTGTCGTTAGTACAAGTTGCCTGTGAAATCTCTGTATTGAATAATAGCTGTAGATTTGTTACTGCTGTAAGGTAAAAACTCTATGTCTTAGGGGTTAGTGAATGCATTTAACAATTGTGTGATCCTTGAGCCTTAGGGTTAGATGTGCGTGGTGGGCAGCTGACTGAAGCAACAACAACAAAATCATCATCAAACGGTTGTATGAGAATTGTGTGCAAGATTATGACCTCCACAAGTAATATTCCCAAAGAAATCAGGAGGCATACTGTCACACAGAATTAGTTAACTGTTGCAGGATATTTTTACTCTTCCTCCTTCTTCTTCATTGACTGTTAACTCCAGCAAAAATGATGATGTCAGCTTTGGCTCAGTACAGGAACTCATTGACTGTTCACTTACAGTATTGCTATTGTTGTTTCCCATCCAGATTAATTGTATAATCTTGGCATTAATACTGCCAAGGTGTTGGCCTTTGGCCAGGGACTCTTGCTAGCTCCATTTGATTGAGAGTCTTCAGCATGGCATCCATGACAACCTCATAAGTGCTCAGTCTCTCCCAGCAGAATGTGAATGCCTGCATACAGGACTTATTGCAAGCTGACAGCTGAATATCAGTCCTCGTCAACTTCCTGCAATCGGATCACCCCAAACTTGCTCCATTTCTGTGCCAATGAAAATCACATGAAATGTCCTTCGCTGTCCCGTCTGAGAAACTGGTGAACAAACAATTAGTACCATTCCAGTACAATCCAGAAATGTGTCCACACAGAAATGCACCAGGCAGTTGCTAGGGGTGCCAGAGCCAACAGTCACTACCAGAAATGCAGTTTGTTGTTGATGGAAGTAGGCAGTCATGATAAGTTGGCTGTGCACACGCACACACACAATTATTACATAAGATATTTTACCAGCCCACATGTAAACCAGCTACTGGCAAAATTAAATACTACGACTCAGCTGCTGCACAAATAAAAGGCATTCCATAAAATGCAGCTTACAGTGCTACACCAAGCACTTAACTTGGTAGCTCAGGCAACGAACGTAAACTGTAAACATGTGTCCATGTGTGGAAACAACTGCATTAGCAAAGCGCTGTCAGGAGCAAAATAACTTTGAGGTTAAACATTCTGTCATGCCTAGTTCTCCAAATTGGCCCGAAAATCATCCAATTCAAGTATCCCAATAATTGGACTTAAAAAAACAATCTCAGCTTACACATATGTGGGGTGCCATCATGGCTAGTAACCATGATTAGCCCCCTTTGAATTAGTGTTACCTTTCCTCTTCATGAAATAATGCAGGTGTAGAGAGGAATTGTGCTACACGATCAACACTTGGTCTTTTAAATACTGCACAGGCTTTGTTATATGGCCTTGTTGCAACATGTAGGCCAATACAACACAAACGTCGAGGTAATGGAACTAAACTGCCTATGCATGCGCCGCCCGGTTTGACTTTCTTTTATCATAAACATAGCTAGTATATTTTGAGTCTGACAAATGAGCTACTGGTGTTGTGCAAGTGCTGCAGTACAGATTAATCTGTCAGTAACTTAACACATGTTCTTTTCCTGCTGTGATATCTAGTCCCAGGGGAGCCACGGAAGGTCAAAGTGGAAGCCATCAACTCCACCAGTCTTCTGGTGGAGTGGGAGCCTCCGCAGCAGAAGGAACAGAACGGCATCATCCGGGGCTACCAGGTATGTGCACTGGCAGTCTCTGTTTACTGTGTGAATGAAATGTTGGTGAGCTACATGCTTGTCTGATTGTGTTAACATGGTCTTCTATATGTTCACTGGCAGTCTGTGTTTACTGTGTGATTGAAATGTTGGTGAGCTACATGCTTGTCTGATTGTGTTTGGTCTGTCTTCTTCTTCTCTGTGTCCACTGGCTGTAAACTCCAGCAGAAAGTTCTGGTTGTTTGTCCACTTCTGGACTTTAGCCTTGTTATAGAACCTGAGTTTTGTGTGCACTCCCATTTGACAGATCTTGCATATTTGTAAGCAGACCCTTGGTTCCTTGCCTCACAACTTTGAATGTTACTACTAATTAGTCAACTCTTAGGACATGCTTGTTAGGGAGCAGTGGGTCTATACCTGCCTCCCCCTTTTTTCCCCCAATGAGGCTGCCCAACCGACACAAGGACTCTGCTAGGTCATTTATGGGCTATTCTAATTATCAAGGCCGAAAATATGTCAGTTGCAGAATTGGGGTGACTACCGCCACCGCTGAGAGTGGCGTGGAGCAGGGCTAAACTAGATGGCTAAGACTCACGAGCAAATAAAATGAAGGAAGCTGTAGGAGATGCGGTAGCTGCTGCTCGTGAGTCCCAGCCATCTAATTTAGCCCCCGCTCCACGCCGCGCATAGCGGTGTGGGAGATGCTCTCGGCGGTGGTGGAGGTCACCAGAAATCAGCAGTTTAAGTTGCCGGAAGTCCGCAATTGACATGTGACTGAGGCTCTGTTAGGGTATATTTTCGGCCTCGATAAATTGGGACCGTTATTCGGAGGATAGCCCATTTGTGTATTATCACAAATGACGTCACTGCACATTGAGCATGTCAGTCGTTGATATATGGATTCATTTTGACATCTGTATCATTGCTGGACAGCAACAGAGCTCAGGCATCTGAAGAGCTGCTGAAGTCATCAGAAAAGATAAAATTGACAATTTTAAAAAAAGAGAAGAAACCTAGCACTGAAACCTGTCTTCTACTTCTTCTTTTGTCCCACTTCTATTCTTTCACGGGGGCTAACCCACTGATTCACAGAGAGATAGTTTATGTGTAGTTTCTGGTCTTGTGCTAGTTGCCAGTGACACAGTTCATTAAAGAGCAGCAGTTGAGATGGCTTAGTCATCTGGTGACCGGCTACCACCTGCCAGAGCCATGCTGAAGAAATATAATGGACACAGGGCAAGGGGAAGACCCTGCTACAACATACAGGTGTTGTCACTGTACACAGCAGAGATTTGGGTTAGAATCTGAGGCTTTACGGAATAAACACATCCCTTCATGTGTAGATCATCAACTCTGATTCCTTATCCATCCTTCCATTTTGCTTTTCATTGGGTTTGATTAAAGTGAATATGAGACGGACGCGCTACCTACAACGTTTTCATTATAGTTGCCTGTCTTATTTTTGTATTCTTTTTTGCTTAAATTGGGTCATCCAGGCTTAATTCATAGATTGGGGAGTTCCAGACTTCCCTCAAAGATCACAGAAGGACAATCTCACAAGACAGAACTCTGTAGCACCAGCAAGAAAACATAATGAATTATCAAAATAAAAAAGGAAGTCAGAAATTTGCAACTCATCACTTGTTTATCTCTTTTGAAAAAAGGTTCACTACATTGAAGTCAACGGCAACGAAGAGCCGATGCCTGGAGCCAGGGAGCAGAGCTACGACACACATGATCCCACCAAAACTGAAGCCATCATCACAGGACTCAAGCCTGACACCCGCTATGTGGTTCAGGTGGCGGCTTACACCAGAAAGGGGGATGGCCTCAGGAGCAGGCAGAAGGTGCTCAGTACCAAAGGTGCAGGTAAGACTCAGATCAGCATTTGCTGACTCTTATTTCTCCTACAATCAAACGTTAACACCAGTACCAAAGGTGCAGGTAAGGTGTAGATCAGCATTTGCTGACTCTTATTTCTACTACAGTCAAACGTTAACACCAGTACCAAAGGTGCAGGTAAGGCTTAGATCAGCATTTGCTGACTCTTATTTCTACTACAGTCAAACGTTAACACAAGTTCCAAGGATTGAGTTTGTGTTGAGAAACAATGTCTACTAATCATGGACTTATAGATTTATAATGAATAATAATCCTTGCTGGAACCAAACATTGTTTTTTGTTAACAGGGTGTTCGTCTTAAGCACGTTTGTTTTAATGAGGTTTTAATGTATTTAATTACTGTTGGTTCTGATGTCTGCTTCATTTTGTGCTTTCTTTTTCTTGCTGTTTTTCATTTTTCTTCCTAATTATTATGTCTTTTTATCTGTTTTCTTTCTATTTCAGTTTTTTTTTTGGGCGTCTCATAATTTTTTTCTTTTTTTTTTCCTTTCTTTCTTTTTTCTTTTTTTTAATACATTCTCTGTCTGCAGTTATCATTACCATTCTTGTCAGTAAAATGTCTTTTGCAGTTCTGAAGTTTTTAAATATACTACCTTCAGATTTGTCTCAGATTTGATACATCATAGAAATAAATATGCAGCATTTACGTATCAAATAATTCAGATTATTAAATTCTATTTGTTGCATGCATTGTCCTTTTGCCAGTTCATTCTCAATATTTTAATTAAAGCAGTCTTAACACAACATTTTCACCTCATATTATGAATGAAGTTACCTAAAACATTTCTTCATTAATATGTTGTTGAAATATTGACATACAACACCATTTCTTCATTAATATGTTGTTGAAATATTGACAGACAACACCATTTCTTCATTAATATTTTGTAGAAGTGGGTACTTTTTAGCTAATACTCTTTTCTATGACAAGGCAACTGAGGATAAAAATTCTCATGTCCAAATATTGATGATTTGTCTATAGGTAAAGGTACTCTTATGTCAGCTCTAACAGATGTCAATGATCTCTTCCACAGTACCCTCACCCCCAAGGAACCTGCAGGTCGATCTGGTCCAGAACGACCCACCAACTGTCAGAGTCACTTGGCAGCGACCAGCAGAAATACACGGAGATGTCAAAAACTACAAGATTGTGTGGGGTCCACGTGGGGAGAGATACGAGGAGAAGATTTTAAATGCAGACATCTATTCTTATGTCACCAATACCTTAGGTAGGTGTCTCTGTCTCTGTCATTCATACGATGACTCATAGCATTGACTTCAGACATAGAGAATTTAATCTTACGAAAAGAAGTATCAGTAGCGGGTTGGTGGGGGGGGGGGGGGGGGGTTAGGGGGGGGGTCTTGTGTAGCTATATATGTGTGTCTGATGATTATGGCTAGCTGACAAACACTACTTGACTGAAGTTCTCTATACATGGACAGATGGGAGGACAGAATGGCCAAACATGCTGCTTTGCAAGGTCTGCATGGTTTTTGAGAATGACTGATAGTGCTGGGAAAAACCTGGCTAGCTGACTGAGGTGAAAGACAGTTGTTCGACAACGGGGCAGAAAGACAGTTCAGTTGTGTTGACACGAAATTAGATTCTTATTAGGGCTTAGATATTTATATTAGTGACAGCATAGATTAGCCTTTTGACCAGTCGATTCATCAAAATGTCTTAGCAGTTTAGTCATTATAGTTTCACTTGTCATACCTCAGTATCCCTGTGTGAGTTCCTAGAGTCCTATTTTTGGGTGGTGGGGGTGGCCAAGTTAACCTGCTTTACCTAGAGAATATGTAATTCGGTACCCCTGGTCTACATCAAGCAAATGATCAAACCATCTTCACTTGTCTTATCTTGATCTGCATCAAGCAAGTCATCAGACATAGCCACCAGACATAGTCACCAGACATAGTCATCAGGCATAGTCACCAGACATAGTCATCAGACATAGTCACCAAGCATAGTCATCAGACATAGTCATCAGACATAGTCATCAGACATAGTCACCAGACATAGTCATCAGACATAGTCACTAGACATAGTCACCAGACATAGTCATCAGACATAGTCATCAGGCATAGTCACCAGACATAGTCATCAGACATAGTCATCAGGCATAGTCACCAGACATAGTCACCAGACATAGTCATCAGACATAGTCATCAGACATAGTCACTAGACATAGTCACTAGACATAGTCACCAGACATAGTCACCAGACGGAGTCACCAGACAGAGTCATCAGACATAGTCACCAAACATAGTCACCAGACCAGAACACTTCTCTACTCATGTTGTTCGATGACATCATGACAGTTACATTTTCAGGATATTGAAAACATTAAAATGTAAGGTGCATGCCAACACACGCTCACACACACACACACAGGTTTATGTGTGCACACACATTCAAAGACTCATAATAGGTAAGTCTCATGATTAGATGACATACAGATTTGAGAAAAAACATGTTAATATTTCTTCCTTCTTGAAAAATGCAGATAAAGGAACCACATATGAGTTCCGTGTGTCAGCCAAGAACCAGGTGGATTACGGGGAGAGGGCAGTTGTGAGCATCACCACACCAGATGGAGGTTAGTCTCTCTTAGCATTGTCTGTAGTTCATAGTTCATGTCTGGGCTTGCAGATGTCAACAGGGCAGTGGTACAGATAGCAACAGTACAGTAGTGCATATAGCAATGGGGCCGTAGTCCAGACATCAACAGTATAGTAGTGCAGATATCGGCAGTACAGTAGTAAGGATATCGACAGTAAAGTAGTGCAGATTTCAAAGGTACAGTAGTGCAGATAACAACGGTCCAGTGGTAAGGATATCAATGGTACAGTAGTGCATATATCAGTGATACAGTAGTGCAAATGTCAATGGTACAATAGTGTAGATATTGGCACAGTATTGTAGAGATCAACAGTACAGTAGTGCAGATATCAGTGATACAGTAGTGCATATGTCAATGGCACAGAAGTAAGGATATCAGTGGTACAGTAGTGCAGATATCATCAACGGTACAGTAGTGCAAATATCAATGATACAGTAGTCCAGATGTCAGAGGTACAGTAGTGCCGTTATTCTATCTCAGCTCATTCCAACCTAATCCTTTTATACTTTGCAGTGCTTAGGCGAAGTATAAACTTCAGAAAAGTGCCATTTGTTTGCTTCATAGATGTGGGTTCCCATGGACTGTGTTTTCCCCTCTGACCATCGTTTGTGTGGTCAGCCTCTCTTTTGATTCCCTCCTGATCCGTACATCATTGCTTTCTGTAGTATACTGTCTTCTGGCATCCAGGTTATATATCCAAACCATTTGACTTGTTTTCTGATGAATCTAGAGCTGCTACTACATCCACTTTATAGATTTAATCATTTTTTTTTCTCCTGCTCATTTTCGTGATGTGTTAAGTGCTCTTCCTTAAAAATCTCAGGGGGGCTGCGTGGTCTCGAGGCTTGGTGTCCTCCTCGAGTGCTAGAGTTCCGGGTTCAATCCCCGGTAAGGGCTGGGATTTTTTTCACGTGGACTTGGACTTATAGTAATTCTTTCTGGTCTCTGGGTAATGAGATTGGACGCCCGTGTGTATTGTTACGCACCTAAAAAAATCCCTTGGCAGTTGGAAATCGAAAAAAGTTGTTTAATGGCGCTGCCTGGGCAAAATTTGAAGCTAAAAATCTACCCTAAGTATTTCAGGATCCTTGCTCTTGCTACAGAGCCTGTGCACTGTGCTGAGCTTCTTCAGACTCAGACTTGAGTTAGAAGAAGAACGGAGCACATTTGGGTTACTACCCGTGTGCCATGATGTTGATTCGTTGTTCAAACTTCAAACCTTAAGAATCTCATTGCAGTTGAAATATTTTCTTTTCTCCTTTTCTGTCATTGTCCATATACTCTTTATTGTGGCAAATCTTGAATTTGCTGCCAATGGAAAACTAACTGCAGGTCTCCAAGAAGAGAAGAAAGTAGTAAACTGAGGAAAGACATTAGATGTAAACAGGCGTGTTATTTTGAATGTGTTGTGAGGAAGAAATAAATATTAAAACTTAGTGACAGCTTGCGAACCTGAAGGAGAAAAGCAAAAAGGAAACAGAGAGGAATAGAATCACTTCACCACATGACAGGAATGAAACAAGCACACAGACCTGATCAGAGAGTTTAATTGATTCAAGAACCAACATAGCAGCACTCTGGATATTTCCATAAGCACTCTGTCCCAATCTTCAGCAGCAAGCATAGAGCTCCAAACCTGATGGTGCCAGTAGTGACATGATTGTATCTCCATCATGCCTTTCCTCTGAGTGTTGAGCATTGACTATGTATACACCCTGGTCACTTCCCACTATACTATTCTCTCCGGGTCCAACACACCTTACTACACTGGAGGAAACATCCAAAGGATGAAAACAACCTGGAATCATTGTGTAATGTTGATCCCCCACAGTCAATCAGTGCAGTAACTTTGATTTCATGTTTACACCTTTCAGCACCATCTGGGGCGCCACAGAATTTCACAGCGACCGGGCTGACGGAGACATCAGTGCGACTTACCTGGGACTTGCCAGCTCGCAACTTCCGCAACGGAGAAATTATCATGTACCAAATTGCATATCACAAACTCTCGGACCCCATCAACGAGGAGGATCTGAACTGTACAGATACATTTGTAGATCTTGTTGGTCTGGAAATGAATACTGATTATATATTCAAGATTAAAGCATACACAAGTCGTGGGGCTGGACCTTGGAGCATTAAGCTGCATTTCAGAACTTTTGGTCGAAGTAAGTATATTATATTTATATTACATTTTTGTTTACTGCTGCTGTTCCCAGTCCCATTTTTAATTGTTACAGTTAAATTAAATCGGTCAAAGACCACAATGGTCTTACCATCTAAAGAGAATGAGACCATCCTGCCTGCAATTAGAGTGTACAAACTGAAAATAAAAAGACAAAGAGGTAGAGTGAGACCTGGAAGACAATGGATTGATTGTTTCTTGAGGAAACAAAAAGGCAGTCCACATGATCATTGTTGATGTTGCAGGAAAATATTGTTGCTTTTAAGAAAGGTTTTTTCCTCAGGGGAAAAAAAAATAAGTGCCAGTACTTGCCACAAAATCTGTCACATTATCTAGCTATCTAATTGTTTATCTTATCTAGCTAGCTAATTGTTTATAAATCTAGGTAGCTAATTGTTTATCATCTCTAGCTAGCAAATTGTTTATCTTCTCTAGCTGGCTTTTGATCTTCTTTAGGTTGATGATTGTTTTTCTTACGTAGTTAGCTAAGTATTTTATCTTATCTAGCTATCTAATTGTTTATCTTTTCTAGCTAGCTATTTGTTTATCTTATCTAGCTATCTAATTGTTTATCTTATCTAGCTTTCTAATTGTTTATCTTATCTAGCTATCTAATTGTTTATCTTATCTAGCTATCTAATTGTTTATCTTATCTAGCTATCTAATTGTTTATCTTATCTAGCTATCTAATTGTTTATCTTATCTAGCTATCTAATTGTTTATCTTTTCTAGCTAGCTAATTGTTTATCTTATCTAGCTATCTAATTGTTTATCTTATCTAGCTATCTAATTGTTTATCTTATCTAGCTATCTATTTGTTTATCTTATCTAGCTATCTAATTGTTTATCTTATCTAGCTATCTATTTGTTTATCCTATCTAGCTATTTATTTGTTTATCTTATCCAGCTATCTAATTGTTTATCTTATCTAGCTATCTAATTGTTTGTCTTATCTAGGTATCTAATTGTTTATCTTATCTAGCTATCTAATTGTTTATCTTGTCTAGCTATCTAATTGTTTATCTTATCTAGCTATCTATTTGTTTATATTATCTAGCTATCTAATTGTTTATCTTGTCTAGCTATCTAATTGTTTATCTTATCTAGCTATCTATTTGTTTATATTATCTAGCTATCTATTTGTTTATCTTATCTAGCTATCTAATTATTATAGAAAGATATCACCATAAATCCTGGTCCTGACAAGAAGTATTAAGCAAAGAGAGATAAAACATGCCACAGTCAGAGTTCCTCATATTTGAACTGAATTTGTCAAGATTAAGCAAAGAAAGATAAAACATGCTACAGTCAGAGTTCCTCATATTTGAACTGAATTTGTCAAGATTAAGCAAAGAAAGATAAAACATGCTACAGTCAGAGTTCCTCATATTTGAACTGAATTTGTCAAGATTAAGCAAAGAAAGATAAAACATGCTACAGTCAGAGTTCCTCATATTTGAACTGAATTTGTCAAGATTAAGCAAAGAAAGATAAAACATGCTACAGTCAGAGTTCCTCATATTTGAACTGAATTTGTCAAGCATGCTATGTTTTCTTCAGTGGGTTCTGCAGCTGTGCCTCTTGGTGTAACACACTCTGCAGACTTGATCTGCCATTCCTTCAGTTAATGTAGTCTGTCTATCTACATGTAGTTTATGTTATGAAGCTAGCTGATTATCAGCTCAGCAGGACTTTAAGAAAGTTTGACTGCACAAAAAGAGAAATGACTAAACAGGTCTATATAGCATCTCAGGGTATAAGAGAAATGATTACAGAGGACTAAGGTATCTTTTCGGCTAGAACAGTCGTGACTTAGCTTCTTCAGTAAGACCTGTGCATTCCAGGGTAGGAGCAGACTACAGATTTTCTTGCTGTGTTAGAAGACCCAAAAGTTGCTTGCTGCGTTAGAAGACCCAAGAGTTGCTTGATGTGTTAGAAGACCCAAGAGTTGCTTTCTGTGTTAGAAGACCTAAGAGTTGCTTGCTGTGTTAGAAGACCTAAGAGTTGCTTGCTGTGTTAGAAGACCTAAGAGTTGTGCTGTGTTAGAAGACCCAAGAGTTTCTTGCTGTGTTAGAAGACCCAAGAGTTGCTTGCTGTGTTAGAAGACCCAAGAGTTGCTTGCTGTGTTAGAAGACCCAAGAGTTGCTTGCTGTGTTAGAAGAGCCAAGAGTTGCTTGCTGTGTTAGAAGACCCAAGAGTTGCTTGCTGTGTTAGAAGACCCAGAGTTGCTTGCTGTGTTAGAGAACCCAAGAGTTGCTTGCTGTGTTAGAAGACCCAAGAGTTGCTTGCTGTGTTAGAAGACCCAAGAGTTGCTTGCTGTGTTAGAAGACCCAAGAGTTGCTTGCTGTGTTAGAAGACCCAAGATTTGCTTGCTGTGTTAGAAGACCTAAGAGTTGCTTGCTGTGTTAGAAGACTTAAGAGTTGCTTGCTGTGTTAGAAGACCCAAGAGTTGCTAGCTGTGTTAGAAGACCCAAGAGTTGCTTGCTGTGTTAGAAGACCTAAAAGTTGCTTGCTGTGTTAGAAGACCTAAAAGTAGCTTGCTGTGTTAGAAGACATAAGAGTTGCTTGCTGTGTTAGAAGACCCAAGAGTTGCTTGCTGTACAGCTACCACTGTATCCTGGAGTTGAATGGGAAAGACATAATAGGGCCACAAGTTGGCTCCACAGTCCATGGTGGGAGAGAAAAGAGACTGTAACAGATTGCTTGTAGTGGGAGCCGTTCAGCTATTCCAGATGATACTATTCTATTGTGCTACAGGAAGTCAGTGAGAATCACAGCTCACAGCCATTACTTCCCTAGCACAAAGCCTGGGCATTAATGTAGAGAGCATGTGTTGCCCATACAGCATGAGCCCCACTCGGATACACCTTATCAGTTTAGCAGCCACATACATAAAGAAGACTATTCACCTAGTTTTGCTTGATTTTCTCAGTGCCACCTGCTCCAAGCAACGTGAAAGTGCGCCGCACATCAGACACAACCCTTGAGGTGCGATGGGATGAGCCAGATTACCCAGTGTCCGGCTACAAGGTTTTCTACAACATGTTTGCTTCACCAGCCATGTATGTCTGGCAGCAGATGGAGACTGGGCCCTACACTGTAGCCGATATTACGGGGGTGGAGCCTTACACTATGTATGCCATACGGGTACAAGCAAAGTCTGTGGATGGGCGTTACGGGAATTTATCAGATGTGGTCACCACACACGTCCAAGAAGTCCGTAAGTCATCTCATAATTATAAATACCTAATGTTCAGTTAACTCACTGTATTCTAATGAAAATGCTGTATATACTCCACAAAAACAGTTCCCCTTCCCCCCTTTCCCACCAGAACTTTAAAGGCCTAGATAGCATTCAGATAAAGTTATTACATGTTTTCAGGAGTTAAAGCCATGTTTTTCTGGAGCCAAAGGTCACTGACCACTCCAAGAGAACAGTGGAGCAACATTACAACTTTATAGGTAGAAAGGTCAAAATAAAAAATTTACAAAGAATGAAAGAATGTTGCAACTTCCTTGGACTGAAGAGGTCAAAATAAAACACTAGAAAATAATAGCAGATTATTACAACTTTCCTGGATACGTGGCTGTTACATAAAATACAGGGAAAAACAGAGGGGGATATAATTCGTGTCTTCATTCTACAGAAAGCTAAGTTATTGTAAGTACTCTTATATGTAAGTATATCTTTGTATTTTAAATGCTGACAGGATGGCTTTCTTAGCTGTTATAAGTTGGGCACTATGGACACGTCATTGGGTGCTGAGACCCCCCTTCAACATATACATCAGAATACGGCAGTTAATAGTGCCAGTCGTGTGCTGGTTAACAAGATATCTTACACATCAAGTATGCCTTTCACGCTTGTCTTTGCCAGTCTGTACTCCCCGTTCTGGCATTCATAGCAGTGTTATGGACCTGTTGCTCCTCTGATCATCCTATCTCTCTAAGGGCATTAACAATGTTGGCTCGATCAATACAACCGCCATCTGCAGCTAAGGCAAAACCAGCCAGTCTGTCAGCTGTTTCATTGTCAACAACACTGGCAAGACCTGGGATACAGATTACAATTGCTGCCTGAATTGTGGAGTTCAATAGTGACTCAGCCCACTGGCTTCCTGAACCATTCTGCCTGCAGACTGAACTGTGAATGCCCATGCATTCTTATGTCCTCTCTTTGCTTGCTGTAGAGTTCATGTTGTCATCATTTTGTTTGTTGGAAGCTGACTACTTCTGCTTCTTGTTTGAGTTGATTTTTACAGTTCTATAATGTGATTATATATTTTTATTATTGCACATATTATGTAAGTGTTATTAATGCTAGAACCTCACTTATTCTAACAGACCGTGCTGATGCTGTCCAGAGATTCCGAGTGACACAAAGACTGACCACCCTAGTCAAACTGTCCTGGGACAAGCCTCAGAGAGATGAACTGCTCCACTATGTGGTAGATATTTGAATTTACCTAACATACAATTGTAGGATAAATATTTGAGTTTACCTAACATACAATTGTAGGATAAATATTTGAGTTTACCTAACATACAATTGTAGGATAAATATTTGAGTTTACCTAACATACAATTGTAGGATAAATATTTGAGTTTACCTAACATACAATTGTAGGATAAATATTTGAGTTTACCTAACATACAATTGTAGGATAAATATTTGAGTTTACCTAACATACAATTGTAGGATAAATATTTGAGTTTACCTAACATACAATTGTAGGATAAATATTTGAGTTTACCTAACATACAATTGTAGGATAAATATTTGAGTTTACCTAACATACAATTGTAGGATAAATATTTGAGTTTACCTAACATACAATTGTAGGATAAATATTTGAGTTTACCTAACATACAATTGTAGGATAAATATTTGAGTTTACCTAACATACAATTGTAGGATAAATAGAGTTTACCTAACATACAATTGTAGGATAAATATTTGAGTTTAGTGAACATACAATTGTTGGATAAATATTTGAGTTTACCTAACATACAATTGTAGGATAAATATTTGACATCATATACAGTGTTTCCCCAAAATTAAGACCCACCACAAAAAAAGCCTAGCACAGTTTTTAAGGATGCTTTTAATATAAACCCTGCCCCAGAACTAAGGAACACACTTTATTCTAGTAGAGAGTTGCAAATTGGGCACACAGGCCTGTCTTACATTCAGCCCTTTCAAACATCCTCCTTCAGACCACATACGTATGTCAACACTAAGGCATGTTGTGTTTACATAAACATTTAAGATCATCAGCTGCAATGAGGCCTGTTGCTGAAAGGTCATTCAGAGCACAGACACCACTGATGTACACTTGATAATGAGCAGATGTAGTTTATAACTGAAAACTATTTATGCATAGAAATCAGTGACCACACTGAAAACAGAATGTAGAGAAATCAATGAGGAAACTTTGTGAAGCCAAGTTTGCAGGAGGTCGTAACTTGGGTGAAGAATTTATGGCATAAAATCACTGACAGTGTACACTATTACAGTGCACTACAAGCAGGCTACATGGACAAGAAATGCTCATTTAGGGAAAGCTTTGTTGTAGGACACAAGAGACTGGGGCCAATGGTTCTACATGAAATAGAATCACTAGAAATTGAGGCCAGAATTCAGGATTGGAGCATTATCGCGATGTCCCAAAAGAAGATGATATGAATATGTTTGAATAATTTCAGAATTTTCTACACAAATAACAGCTGAATATTTTACTGAAAAAATATTCCCTGGAAAATAAGTCTTAGTCCTTTTTTTAAAGCAAAAATTAATATAAGACCCGGTTGTTGTTTTTTTTTTTTTTTGGGGGGGGGGGGGGGGGGGGGGGGGTCGTCCTTTTTCACATTTACAAAGCATTCCATTGACTCAGGTAATGACATACTGTAACTGCAGATGTGTGCTTGCTATTCTTCTGTATGTTTCTGAAGCTGATGCCTATTTCTGATGTGCTACATTCATTTCCCCAATTTTGTTTTGTCTCAGCAATATTGTGTACTCCTGTGAGCTTTCCCATACTGATTCTTGCATTCTGTGCTATCCCTGTTATATCCTGTTTAGTCTGTAGTGTTGAGTTCTTTTGGCAGCCTCAGCAGTCTCATAGCTAGAGATCTATCTGTTGACTGCTGTAGCCCTATAACTAGAGAGTTATCTGTTGACCACAGAAACCTCATAACTAGAGAGTTATCTGTTGGGCCAGAGGTCTAAGGTTTAAATCTGCACTCAGATAGTTTTTGTGTTATTAGACTTTGCCATTAAGCCACTTTCTAAAGCTGTCTATGTCAGCCGGCAGGCACACATTGGCAGCCATATGACTTGGACTAATCCCCCCCCACACACACACATACACACACACCCACGCACCCGCACACACACACACACATATGGTATACAAACATACCAAGAGAGAGGAAAGAGCCAATAAGCCACTTTCTAAAGCTGTCTATGTCAGCTGGCAGGCACACATTGGCAGCCATATGACTTGGACTAATTCCCCCACCCCCCACACACACACGCACACACACATACACACACAGACAGAGAGAGTTACTATACACACATATTGAGAGAGAGAGACAGAGAGAGCCAGAGAATGAGTTTCTAAAGCCATCCATGTTAAACACATCCCCACAGCTGCGATATGAAGGTATGAAGACATACCGTGAAGACGGTGAGATCAAGCAGATCTTCCAGGAACTACAGGAAGTGAAGATCAACGGCCAGCAGACAACCTACAGCGTCACCAACCTCAAACCAAAGTTGAAGCTGGAGTTTAACATCAGTGCCGTGTTCAAGAATGGTGACGAAGGCTGGCCTCAGTCATTGGTCACTGAAACATTAATCGATGGTCAGTTTTCTTCTGCACATTGTATGTGTTTTGTTTTTTGTATGTGTTTTGTTTTTTGTATGTCATCTGTGTATACTTGAGTTTGAACAGTGAAAAAGCAACAGTTGAAACTGCTAAAGTTATACAAACTGAGATTACTGCTGTAAAGCTGGTATCAAGAAAGTAATCACCGAACTGTGATAATCGACTTAACAATGGTGGCAAGGAAAAACAGTTTGTTTGTTCTTATGTATGGGTTTTATACGCCTTTCAACCATTGTTAGTTAGTTAGTCGTTAGATTATCCTCATTGCTCATTGGAAAGTCCATAACCACCCGAATCCCATTTTCAGTATATCTTGCAGCGTGTGGCGACTGATAACACCAGTTTTATGTTGGTTTACTCTTCTTCTTTGGCTGCCTGTATAGTGTTCATGTTTGGCGACAATTCTTTTGACCTGAAGTAGTTTTTTGAGTCTCCTGATTCATCTTCTCATCCTGCTTCATTGAGAGCATTGAGAAACGTGGTCACCATTGTTACACTTCTTAGTCACATTTTGGTGGATTAATTAATTGAAAAATACTGTTTGCCAGAATTCAAGAGAACGAACGAACAAACTTTATTTTCAAAGGGTCACAAATTGGGCACGCAGGCCCGTCTTACATTCGGCCCTTCCAGTCAACCATCTTTCGCACAGCAGTTGTATTTTTACTAATAAAGCATGTTATGATCATATGATGTTATGCATATTATGAATATTATAAAAGAACACAAAAGTATGAGTTTTAAAGTGCATGCAAAAACCGGCGCGTGCATACATACACCCACATACACACGATCACCCACTCAAACGCACATACATGCATGCAAACATTACATACATACATACTTACATACGTGCATACATACAAACAAACATGCAAACAGGCATACACACAGGCATACATACATACAAACAAACATACATAGATACAAACATACATACATTCGTAATACAGGCATACACACATACAAACATACAGTCATAAATACAGTCATGCATGGAGACACTCCCACAAAGACACACACGCTCACTTAGACAAAAATACAGAGACACACACAGACTCTTACATATAAACACACACAGGAAAACACACAGCACACATATTTACATTCGTGCTCACACACTTACACACACACCACACACATACAAACATGCAGACACATACATACAGCCACATAGACACACACGCAGTCAAACACACACACACACAAATACAAACAGGCAGACAAACACATTCTGACACCCACACAGACAAACACGCAGAAATGCATACACATACAAACACATAGAAATACACACGCAGACACATATATTCAGCACGCACAGACATATACTCTGACATGCAGACACATACAGACAACAAAGGGGCACACACAATACACACAGAGAAACACACATAGACATACACAGACAGACACATACACTCACGCAGACAGACATACAGACACCTACACACAGAGATACATACATACAGCCTCATAGACACACCCGCAGACAAAACACATAAACATACACATGCAAACATGCAGACGAACACATATGAGGACACACAGAGACACAAACGAAGATATGCACAGTCACATGAAATATGCAGAAAAACACCAAGACACACACACATGCAGACAAACACAGAGACACACACACAGACACATATACACAGCTACATGGATCCAATCGCGCAGACACACATACACAGCAAAGAGGCACACTTAAACACACAGAAACACACACAGACCAATTCATACTGAAGGAACAGGATGCAGTCAAGAAATGACTGCAACACAAATTTATGCAAGGACATTAAGGTTCATGGTTATGCACAAGTAAAGATTAGCTAAAATAGAGGCACAGTGGAGGGGCATGACCAAATGACTTCAGTCTTTGAGGAGTCATGCCTGATGATGTTAACCATCTGAAACTCTTTTTTGATTAAACCTATATTACAATATTTAGCAAGATTATCAATCCTTTCACTCTGTAAACTCATGACAATACAAGTCATGACACCCACCTCTCTCAAATTCCTTTTAAAACAAATGTGACATAGGTCACTAATTTAAAAAAAAACATGTGAATATATCCAAATTTTCAAAAACCTTTTCTCAAAATGCTGGTCAGTAATCAGAAAACATGATCAGAGTGCTGCATTCAATAGAATACATTCCACAGTGCGCAAGCAACAACGATCTGATTTGTGCGACTCCTGTCATGACCCCATGACATCAAACACTGAGATAAAGGGAAAATTATTAAGTCAAAATGGTTTTTTAAAAACCATTTGATTCGCATGAATACTTACTTAACTCTTTGAGTCCCAAGGAACGCATCATACTTTCATAGGTTACTGCCTAGAATCCCAATGAATGCATGATGCGCCGATTTGAGTCTCTTTTGACTACCCCTTGGGCCTGTGATGCTAAACCCTCTGGGACTCAAAGAGTTAAGGGCTAATTTTAGTAAATACATTCATATCCGGACCTCCTGAATGCTGTGCTAGAGCAAGCAAAGCCATTGACAACAACTAGGCATCTCAGGTACACATCAGTGTAGCAGATCAGTAAAGCAACATATAAAGGAGGAGTGGACTCATCCAGAAGTGTCAGTTCTGTGGTTTCTCGGAGGGACAGTGTTAAACCTATTGTACAAAAATTAATGTTAATTCATCTGTTGCCCTCTAGCTCCACCTCGTGTAGAGAAGCCAACAGTGAAGTCAATCCAAACTGGAACCATTCTCATGGAGCTGAAACGAGCATCTGAGAAAAATGGGCCCATTAGTCACTATCATATTGTAGTGGTTCCATCCAGGTCAGGCATGGCCAAGATGCCTTCAGACTACACACTTGAGGAGGTGAGTCATTCTATGTCAGTTTGTGAATGCTTTGCCCATCACGAGTTTGCCTTTTCATATTTGGATTTGTATGTATTTTAATATTTACTCTCAAAACTGCTCTTAAATCTATTGGCATTTAGACAGAGAAACATGGGAGGCTGTTGGACAAGAGCCATCTGGAGAGCTTGCTGTCACTCTTCAAGCATGTTGCATCAGCCTGCCAGGCAGCAGAGGTTACTAGCAGAGAAAAAGAGGAAGACTATTACCCAAAAAAACAAAAAAACTTGTGGATACTAACTGGTCCTGATCAGTAACGACACACATTTATCATCGTTATTTTTCAATTTGTGTGACTTTTTACATTTGTTTATGGAGGCAGAGTGGTCTCGAGGTATGGCATTCACCTCATGTGCTGATAGTCCGGGGTTCAAACCCTGGTGAAGGCTGGAATTTTTTCATGTGATCTTCTAGTAATTTCCCCTGGTCTTTGGATAGTAAGACAGGATGCTTGTGTGTATTGTTGCATGCGTAAAAAATACCTTGACAGTTGGAAATCAAAAAAGGAGTAGCCCACCAGTGCTGCCCGGGCAAAATTTGAGTTAAAAATCTACCCAAAGTATTTCAGGATCCCCGCCTGTGCAGCGGAGTTTGCGCACTATGCTGAGATTCTTCAGACTCAGGCTTGAGTTAGAAGTAGAACCGAGCACTCATAGGTTACACCCACGTGCCATGATGTTGATCCGTTGAATAAACATAAACATTACATTTAGTCTTATGTGTCTTCATATTTCACTTTGTGTCTTTGAATATTCAGGTTTGTGTATCTATTCACATTTGGACTTATACATCTTTTCATATTCAGGTTTGTGTATCTATTCACATTTGGACTTATATGTCTTTTCAACATTAGGACTTGTTAGTGTTTTCCTATTTGGACTTATACGTTATACACTTTGTGATGTCTTTTTCATATTGGGGGTTCTCTTTCCTTTTCTTGATCTATCTGCTCTGTGGTCCTGTAAATTTGACATTTATCTTATGTTCTGCCAATTTTTTTAGACTGTCATATCTTATACTGCGTTCACCTTATTTTAATATAGCTGTGCAAGGTTAAATTAATTATTATTTTCTGATTATGACCTTTGTTCTATTTATTCCCAGCTCACCAAGGATAGAATGAGTATCGATAAACCGGCATCTCACCCATACATTGCTGCAAGGTTCGAATCTCAGTCCCTGCCGTCCGAGTTTTCTCTGGGCAACAACCAAGAATATGGTTCCTTCACCAACAGACCTCTACACGTAGACGATCGTTACCGTGTTTTTCTTCGAGCTTATTCTGTCGACCAGGTGAGTACCAACCCATGATTTATTGTCAGTGTTACCTTTTGTGCCAGTTTTATTGTTGCTGCTGTTGGCATTGTCACTGCTGCTGCTGTTGTTTTTGTTGTTTCTTCTTATTGTTTTCTTTTGGTCGTTTATGTAGTTATGATTTTTAAAAATCAGTTGCAAATCCTCGACTTTTTATCACAAATCAGTCCCAATATATTTGGCTTTTTTGTAGTTTACTTGCTTGACAAATTTATGTTGAGAAGTTTACATTTCCTTTCTGAACAGTATGGCGCTCATACTATTGTGATAATCAGTGCACAGCAAATTTCAAAGAGCTGACTTTCAATGCCAAAATGTTGGGATTGTGAAAATGTGTTCCGAATCCTCAAGGATCATGTTGATTGTGTTGAGGAGACACATTTTGGTGATTGTAGTAGATGCAGCTGTTCTTACAGTTATAGTGAAAACACTAGCAAGTGGTTGTTACTGGGTCACGTTAGCTGTGAGTATTGTCGTTCTTTTCTGTCCCACTAGGAATATAAACTGTAAAGTGACTTCTGAGAATATAGTTCATTGTCTTCTCTGTCCCTTCAGGAGTGTAATTTATAAAGTGATTTCTCAGAATCTAATATATTGTCTCCACCCTCCCACCAGATATGTCAGCTGTAAAGAAATTTCTCAGAATCTCATGTATTGTCTTTTATGTCCCACCAGGTGTGTCACTTATAGAGTGATTTCTTAGTAGTTTATTGTCTCCTCTGTTCCACCGATTGTGTCACGTATAAAGTGATTTCTGAGAATATAGTTTATTGTCTCCTCTGTCCCACTAGTTATGTAACACATAAAGTGATTTCTGAGAATATAGTTTATTGTCTCCTCTGTCCCTTCAGGAGTGTAATTTATAAAGTGATTTCTCAGAATCTAATATATTGTCTCCAGTGTCCCACCAGTTATGTCACACATAAAGTGATTTCTGAGAATCTAGTTTATTGTCTCCTCTGTCCCACCAGTTATGTCAGTTGCAAAGTGACTTCTCTGAATCTGATGTATTTTTTGTCCCACCAAGTATGTCACGTATGAAGTGACTTCTGAGAATTTAATATACTGTCTCCTCTGTCCCACCAAGAATGTACGCTGAGTTTATGTAAAGTGATTGCTGAGAAACTTATGTGTTTTGTCTCCTCCCTGCCGCCAGCGTCTGTACACATCTAGTGACTACTCTGATGAGCTGAGCATTTCTTCAAACAACGCTGATTCTACATTCCATATTGGTGGAGGTGTCAGAAACAACAAACAGCATCCTAGTGGAGCCCACCGTCCAGACCCCATCGAAGATGATCAGGTGAAAGATTTTGATGATGCCAGCGCTTTATTGACCATTGTTGCCCCTACCTGCGCTGGAGCCGTCATCGTCATCATCATGTGCGCCATCATTTGTTTCCTATTCATGAGGTAAGTACTTACAGGTTTCCTGCTGGTTCTCTTCATCATCTAAATTTCAGCTGTCTCAAATCAAGTCTGACATCACTGCACATTGGGCATTCCCAAACGTACTGTCCTCCGAGGCAGCTGCCATTACATCCAGAGTACCTCTACTGATTGTTCCGATGAAGAGCTGGTTATAGTGTCTCCTATCTCGGCTTTGAAGGTGGTGGGGAGGTGCTTTACCAGGCTTAACTTCTATGTCACCCAGTCTTTTCCTGTGTTTTTAAGGGGAAAACAAAATTGTCGTCCCTGGCAAACGTTATCAAAGGAAGCAGATGGAGATGGCTTGGACATATTTGCAGAATAGCTCATGGCACTTTGACAAGGACAGCTTTTGGGTGGATGCCAGATGGATAAAAGGAGATGTAGACGACCTAAGGAAACCTGAAGTAACACAGTAGAAAATGAATAAACACATAAACTTTATTTTCACCTGTTATGTTTATATATAATAATATTCATACTGTGAGTATCAAGTAAAATACACACAAACATTGATGGTCTTCTGCTCTTTTGCATTCACCAGCTATAAACCCAGGGAGAAGTTTTTGGTTGTTCATCCACTTTTGGACTTTGGTCTTGTTCTGAAACGTGTGTTTTGCATGCATGTCTGTTTTACAATTCTGGCTTATTTGTAAGCACCCTTTCCCTGTATCTTCTTGCTTTCTTCCATCCTCAATTCTTTCATTCTTCTATGTTCTCCCCTTGTATCTCCCATCTTCTCTCTCTCTTCTCCTTTGTCCCCCTTTCTCTGTTCTCTTTGCCTCTCTCACTTCTGCCTTCCTCCCCCTCTAACTTCCATCTCTTCTCTTCTCACTCTTTTGCATCCTCTTCCCTCCGTCCACTCTCCCTCTCCATACCTCTGCTCTGTATTGGCTTACTCTGTATGCTTTTCTTTTTTTTTTTTTGTTATCCTTTATTGCCCCTCTCCATTCTGCCATTCTTCTCTCGTTTATAAGCTTTTTTTTTATTCTAGCTGTCTGTCTGTGCAGACATTGATTTCATGTAAAACTTGAAACTGTGAAAGCAGTAATATATCCCCCCAAACAAATGGTGTATGTTTCAGGAAAAAGAACAAAGCAAAAGGTGACCCAATGGAGCCGGAATCCAAAGCACTGATGATCGAACCCCCACTGTATTCCATTGACCCTGTGGAGATGAGGCGACAGCACTATCAGACACCAGGTAAGGCCATTTTACTATTTTTGAACTTGTTCTCACATGTGAGATTTGTAAATTGCATAAAAACTTCAGTTGTATCTAATATTTTAATCCTTCGATGTCTGTGTCTGTTTCTCTGTGTCATCATGTATTTTTCTTTCTCTCTCTGTCTGTCTTCTGTCTGTTTCTCTCTTTCTCTCTCTCTCTCTCTTTCTTTCTCTGTCCCTAACCCACTCCTCCACCCCACCCCTGCACACTCACCAGTTTTGTTCATACCAGTCTTGTGCTCTCAGTGTCAGACCTGGACTTGGACAAAAGTTCATGAAAGAAATAAATACCTGTGAAATCAAATGTTTGAGAAAGGCCACAAACAAAACTAGAAGAGATCATGTGAGGACAAAGAAATTACGAGTACTTGGGACAACACCTATAACTGAAAAATAAAGACTCAAATGGTTTGGCCATTCATGAGAATGAATCCAGTGATGCCAGCAATAAGAACTTACAACATGAACTTAGAAACAGCAAGAGGTGTAAGGAGATGATCAAGAAGAGGATGGATGGGAGGAGTCACTAATAGCTTGAGACTCCATAAAAGCAGAGCCCTAGCTTGGATATATATCATCTGTTAGCCTGTTACACACAAAGCAGAATATTGACAAAAGAAAATAAAAATAAACTCTGTGGTTTTGCTTACCAAAAAAAGAAAAAACCACCTGCAGTGGAGTTTAAACCCATAACCACAGGATACAGGTCTACAAGCCAGTACATTATTTAGCATACCACTATTGCTCCCAGTTCCTATACAATGATTACATAGAACATAAAAAGCACAACTGAACAGAATATAAGAAAATTGAAAGTTATTGTTACAAAGCCTTTATCAGCATTTAACAATAAATCATTAGAAAAATCCATGCATATACAACTATATATTTTTTAAACTACAGAAGAATGACTGAACCTTTTGTAGCATTTAAGTCCAGGTGTCACTGGAACTTGCTATGGTATGCAAGTATATATTTGATTTCCCAGTTTTTATAGTACACGAATTTACTTTTTAAGAGATTGAACAAAAATGTATTTTCTGCTGACTTGCTGGATTGACCACTGGTCAGTACTACATACAGTCATTAACATTTGTACCTGAATACTCTTCAGCCATGATCAGCCATCCACCCATCCCCATAGAAAGACTGGCAGAGCATATTGATGCCCTCAAAGCCAACGACAACTTCAAGTTTTCCCAGGAGTACGAGAGCATTGAACCTGGCCAGCAGTTCACCTGGGACAACTCCAACCTGGAGGTCAACAAGCCCAAGAACCGCTATGCTAATGTGATTGCATACGATCACTCCAGGGTCATCCTGCAGCCAATGGAAGGGGTCCCCGGCAGCGACTACATTAATGCCAACTATATGGATGGTTACCGCAAGCAGAATGCTTACATAGCCACCCAGGTAAGCTCTTTGATCATTCTTACTCTGACTCTAGTTTTCTTTTGTTGTGTTTGTGATCATTTACTAGATGTCAGCAAGAGAATGTCCCAAGTTGCTATGATATCAGTTGTTAACTCTAGTTTTCTATTGTTGTGTTTGTGATCATTTACTAGATGTCAGCCAGAGAATGTCTCAAGTTGCTATGATATCAGTTGTTAACTCTAGGTTCTATTGTTGTGTTTGTGATCATTTACTAGATGTCAGCCAGAGAATGTCCCAAGTTGCTATGATATCAGTTGTTGTTAACTCTAGTTTTCTATTGTTGTGTTTGTGATCATTTACTAGATGTCAGCCAGAGAATGTCTCAAGTTGCTATGATATCAGTTGTTAACTCTAGGTTCTATTGTTGTGTTTGTGATTATTTACTAGATGTCAGCCAGAGAATGTCTCAAGTTGCTATGATATCAGTTGTTAACTCTAGTTTTCTACTGTTATCTTCTTCTTCTTCTTGTTCACCGGCTGTGAATTCTGGCGGTAAGTCACGGTTGTTCGTCCAAAATGGACTTTTGGCTTTTACCTTGACCTGAGTTTTGCGTGTACATCCGTTTTACTGGCTTATTTGTTTGCAGTACTCGTTCCCCGCCTCTCCGGCAGATGTACTCCGACTTCGGAGGAAGACGTCAAGCCTATTTCTAGGTTGACTGTGGCCATTGTTTTGTGTGGGTCGAGATGTTGCCTTATTTGTGTGGTGTCCTCTTTGACTTTTAACAGGTGTGGCCCCAGGCATGTCGTACTTAAGGCAGCTCTATGTAGAGTTTTCAGCCCTCAAGGGAAGGCAGGGGCAGATCATGGGCATTCCCCGCCATCCAAGGAGGCTTCCATAAATGCAGAGCCGACACATGATGCTCTGGTTCTGGGCTCACCCAAGGAATCGTCACGTCCTGCCCATGACTGCTAAACCTCACAACCGTGTATTGAGCTTCCCGCGCTACAAGGCTGCGCTCTCCGGAGATCAGCGGGGAGCAGCCCACAGGTCTAGGACGTTTGTGGCCACACAAATAGGTACATTCTTTTTCATCTTACGTTAGACACCTTTAACGTTGTTTCAGCTGTGCCCTTAGCACGACAGAATGGGGAAGCAAAATGCGTCAGGCGTGGCTTCACCTGTTTGGTCCCAACACTCGGGCGAGTTGGACCAGTGGATACGGACATTCAGACTTTTCCTAATCGGTACGAGTTATGATCGTCGGACTTTGAGCTTGCATGTGTGCCGTGGGGTGTAACTTTGTCGGACATTGTTTTCAAGCCAGCATATGAATAGTTGCTGCCATGGTGTACCTCAGCGCGGTGACAACGACACTGAGGATTGACAGAGGATGTACGTAGGTGGGATCTTGCTGCGAGAAGTCGCCCACAAGAGATGTTACTCGTCTTGGCTGCGGGTAAATCTCTCAGTCAGGGTTGAGTCTCAGCAGCACAGTTTTCCCATTCGCTCCCGAATTTTAACCAAGAGTTGTCATTTGATGGAACATTTAGCAAGCAGTCCTTGAGTTTTGTTACTTTTCACCCATGCGTTTGGGGGCTGGCTGGTGAGAGCCAGAAAGGACTCTACACCTCTAGGGGCCGCCAGCTCCGAGATCCCCTGCCAACTCTGTTAATGCTCATTTGAGACATTATCCGTGGCGCACGACGGGGACGTGCAACAGGAGTCTTGCATGAGGTTCCGTAAAACCAGAACAGTGAAGGACTGGCGCCCGAGTGATGTACGGAATATCTCCTTATACACATCACATCAGACTTAACTTCCTCTCATGCCTGTGATCGAAATCACCGCGCCACTCTACTGTTGTGTTTGTGATCATTTACTAGATGTCAGCAAGAGAATGTCTCAAGTTGCTATGATATCAGTTGTTAACTCTAGTTTTCTATTGTTGTGTTTGTGATCATTTACTAGATGTCAGCCAGAGAATGTCTCAAGTTGCTATGATATCAGTTGTTAACTCTAGGTTCTATTGTTGTGTTTGTGATCATTTACTAGATGTCAGCCAGAGAATGTCTCAAGTTGCTATGATATCAGTTGTTAACTCTATAGTTTTCTTTTGTTGTGTTTGTGATCATTTACTAGATGTCAGCCAGAGAATGTCTCAAGTTGCTATGATATCAGTTGTTAACTCTAGGTTCTATTGTTGTGTTTGTGATCATTTACTAGATGTCAGCCAGAGAATGTCTCAAGTTGCTATGACATCAGTTGTTAACTCTAGGTTCTATTGTTGTGTTTGTGATCATTTACTAGATGTCAGCAAGAGAATGTCCCAAGTTGCTATGATATCACATGTTAACTCGACTCAACCTTTTAAATATGTAGTCATGGTTTGTTGGTTACATGGGATACTTCAGGAAGACAGTGTTAATTTTCAAGTCCACAGATGTACCCCTTATGAATAAAGCAAATAAAATGTGTTGCAGTAAAACTGTAAAAATTACCATATGTCTGTCCATAAAAACAAAAACAGAATAAAAAATGATATACAAGAACACAGTCACAAGTGACATATTGTAGTTAGATAGCCTTAGTGTAGCTAAGAAGCCTTCATCAGCACTCAAAATTGAAATGACTAATACAGTTATTGGGAGTCACCTTGGCATATTGGCTAGATGCTCACATGCAGATCAGAAGGTTGTAGGTTCACTCCCAGGCAGAGCCGGACTTTTAAAAAAAAATGACATTGACTCCCAGGTCGACCCAGCCTTGAGTGGGTACCAGGTGCAGGCCCAGGAAGTAAAGGTGGCCGGCGTGATGCTGACCACATCACCCATCTTGTGCCTATTGGTCTATAAAATATAGGTCTAGCCCTGTATGCCCTTTACGCCTAAAGCTGTGGAAATGGGATCATTACTTTTTTTTTTTTTTTACTTTACTAATACAGTTATTGTACAGTAAAGTAAGAAGTGTTGAAAGCATGAACCCAGGATTTCTGGAAAACTTTGACCCCAGCAGTGAATCAGTGCCGCATGCTTGGTAGCCAGGCTGACAGGAACTGACCCATTGAGGTCAGCGTAGGTGAAAGGTCAGTGTGTATAGGAAGGCTCACAACAGAGCCAAAACAGGTACATACATGCGCACAAAATAGTATCGGGAATGATAAACAAGTAGGATTCAATTCCTACTATTTCTATTTTTCAATATGTGTGTTTATGAATGATATCACTTGAATGTTTGCACCAGATCTTGGTTTATAACATAATTATATGTGTTTGTTAGATGGATATTGCAGATCACAGTAATAACCAAACTGTTTTATGTGTGACAGGGTCCCCTACCTGAAACGTTCGGTGACTTCTGGAGAATGGTCTGGGAGCAGAGGTCAGCGACCATTGTCATGATGACCAAGCTGGAGGAGAGGTCACGGGTACGAAATTATGTCAGTATATCCACCCATATCTTTTTTTCTCTTAGGTGCCTGCTGGGTGTCCAACTAACGATCTCTTGTTGACTTTGCTGATAACTTCTGCATGTGTGCTGATCTCATTCCTGTGCTAGTATATAATTGTTGAGGGTCAAGGCAACCGTCAGTCTCCATAGGTTAAAGTATCTGACAGGGCCCCAAGTCACTTCTCTGACTGACTTTGTTTTGTATCATGAAAAGATATCAGACTGAACAAAAAGTAGAACCAGTCAGTCTCACATTATCACAGCTCAAACAGCAAGTGAACTTCAAGATTCCCTCAGTGATACTGAATGGGTTAAACAGGAAAGAACAAAATGGAGCAATTTTTTTTTTCCCAGCTTGTATCTAGCCAGTCTAGGTCACCCTAGTCTTATCCAGCTCTCTTCATCTCAACCTGGATGGTTTTTCTTCCAGTTTTCTGTTGTTGTCAGCTGTTGGTGATGTTGAGTTAACATCTTAACTGTTTTTGTCAGCTGTGAGTGGAATTAACAATTCTTGCTGTGCTAGTTAACATATGGTACACTTTTCCTGGGGTGCTAGTTAACATATGGTACACTTTTCCTGGGTTGCTAGTTAACATATGGTACACTGTTCATGGGGTGCTAGTTAACATATGGTACACTGTTTCTGGGGTGATAGTTAAAATATGGTACACTGTTCCTGGGGTGCTAGTTAACATATGGTACACTGTTCAAAGGTTGCTAGTTAACATATGGTACACTGTTCATATGGTGCTAGTTAACGTATGGTACACTGTTCCTGGGTTGCTAGTTAACATATGGTACACTGTTCCTGGGTTGCTAGTTAACATATGGTACACTGTTCCTGGGTTGCTAGTTAACATATGGTACACTGTTCCTGGGTTGCTAGTTAACATATTGTACACTGTTCCTGGGGTGCTAGTTAAAATATTATACACTGTTCCTGGGGTGCTAGTTAACATATGGTACACTGTTCAAAGGTTGCTAGTTAACATATGGTACACTGTTCATATGGTGCTAGTTAACGTATGGTACACTGTTTATGAGGTGCTAGTTAACATGTGGTACACTGTTCCTGGGGTGCTAGTTAACATATGGTACATTGTTCATGGGGTGCTAGTTAACATATGGTACACTGTTCCTGGGGTGCTAGTTAACATATGGTACACTGTTCCTTGGGTGCTAGTTAACATTTGGTACACTGTTCCTGGGGTGCTAGTTAACATATGGTACACTGTTCATGGGATGCTAGTTAACACATGATGTTCACAGTGTATGCTATCTTCCTCTTCTCCTTTTTATTCACCGGCTGTAAACTCTGATGGACAGTTCTTGTTGTTTATTCACTTCTGGACCGTAGTCTTGTTCCAGAACCTGAGTTTTGCGTGCATATCTGTTTTAGATATCTGTCTTATGTGTATGCAGTCTGTTGGTTCCTTGCGTCTCAGGCAGATGTGCTTCGACTTCAGTGGAAATCCCTAATTAAGCAGTTACATCTTTGTTACGCAGACAGCTGCCACACCCCCAATCACAATGTGACATACACACATGGACAATCCTGGCATGTTAGTTAACGTATAAACCCCCAATCACAATGTGACATACACACATGGACAATCCTGGCATGTTAGTTAACGTATAAACCCCCAATCACAATGTGACATACACACATGGACAATCCTGGCATGTTAGTTAACGTATAAACCCCCAATCACAATGTGACATACACACATGGACAATCCTGGCATGTTAGTTAACGTATAAACCCCCAATCACAATGTGACATACACACATGGACAATCCTGGCATGTTAGTTAACGTATAAACCCCCAATCACAATGTGACATACACACATGGACAATCCTGGCATGTTAGTTAACGTATAAACCCCCAATCACAATGTGACATACACACATGGACAATCCTGGCATGTTAGTTAACGTATAAACCCCCAATCACAATGTGACATACACACATGGACAATCCTGGCATGTTAGTTAACGTATAAACCCCCAATCACAATGTGACATACACACATGGACAATCCTGGCATGTTAGTTAACGTATAAACCCCCAATCACAATGTGACATACACACATGGACAATCCTGGCATGTTAGTTAACGTATAAACCCCCAATCACAATGTGACATACACACATGGACAATCCTGGCATGTTAGTTAACGTATAAACCCCCAATCACAATGTGACATACACACATGGACAATCCTGGCATGTTAGTTAACGTATAAACCCCCAATCACAATGTGACATACACACATGGACAATCCTGGCATGTTAGTTAACGTATAAACCCCCAATCACAATGTGACATACACACATGGACAATCCTGGCATGTTAGTTAACGTATAAACCCCCAATCACAATGTGACATACACACATGGACAATCCTGGCATGTTAGTTAACGTATAAACCCCCAATCACAATGTGACATACACACATGGACAATCCTGGCATGTTAGTTAACGTATAAACCCCCAAATCATATGTTATTGAACGTATTAAATGTTAGTTAACATGTCAATGCTTGTGTCAACTATGCATGGAATTAACAATTCAGGGTGTGTTAGCTAACAGCTTACAACATATATTGATACATCATGTTCGTATAATCGCCGGAAGTTAGAAGTAATCATGTGACTTACCAGAGTAACTTCAGATTTATAATGACTTCCTTCTGTTTACATAAGAGAGGGTTGTAAATTTGTTCGTTTTCTTGTTCGTTTAAATTCACTACCAGAAAACATTGTTCTGGATATTCTAGCAGTCATATTTATTACAGGATATGTCGCATATTTTCCCAGTATATTCACGTACAGTCCTATAGTATTATCACATTTAGTCACACATATAAATGCGTATTCACTAACTGTTCCTTATTTTGTTTCTCAACAGATCAAGTGTGACCAGTACTGGCCACCTCGTGGAGCGGAGACATATGGACTGATGCACGTACAGCTCGTTGATGTTACTGAACTAGCCACGTACACCATACGTACCTTCCACATGTCGAGAGTAAGTCTCCATCACTTAACTACTAGAATTTGTGAACTTATTTGAGGCTGTTGTTGTTTAGAATGCCTGAGATATTCAGCCATCTGTTCATATCTGAGACATTGTTTATTCGTATGTTAGACTGTAGGATTCAAGCTAAAGAAACATGTAATGGCGGCAGAGATGTGGTTTCTGAGAAGACTGCAACAAATGTTGTTGAAGGATAGAAAAACAAATGAGGCAGTCCTCATCAAGACAGATGAAAGTCATAAACTTATTAGAACAGAAGTTGACAGTCAGTTTTGTTTTTTGTTTAACACATTAAGAGAAGGAATAGACTTGAGAGCTTGGTGACAACTGACAAGATTGATGGAAAGAGAGCAAGAGGACAGGAAGGAGTTAAACACCTGGATGGCCTTGCCCTGTGTATGGGTGAGACAAAAACTTTGAACTGATCCATGATTCTGGTCATTGGGTGAGATGGCGAAACATGACATCCTGTGTTTACAAGCATGGCACATGATGATGATGACAGGAATCAGATGTCTTCACCTCCAAGTTCATGCTGAGACAAAAATCGTGAGACAGTCTTGTGCATTTATTGAAAAGATGTGTGTGTACTCTATTATTGATTGCATGTTGTCTTCAAAGCTTACATAATTATAACAGTATCTAAATGTGTCCCTGTTATCTTTTCTTAGATAAATGTAACAATGTTTAAATTTGTCACCTTTTTCTTATATAAATATAAGAGTGTCTAAGTATGTCTTATTTATTGATTTTTATATATCTGTAAGTGTCTTTTAGTTTTTCCATGTAATCAATTCTTATGTAAATGTAAAAGTGTCTTATGGAAATGTAACAGTTTGTGATTTTTTCATGTCACAGTTCTTAGATAAATGTAGCAATGTTTAAATATGTCTGTGTTTATCAATTCTTATGTAAATGTAATAGTGTCTTATGGATTAATTCTTATGTAAACTCACAGTGTCTTACTTTGTCCATGCTGTTAATAGTGGGGGAAAAAACACTCAATAAAAGCTTGCGTTTGGATCATCTGTATTGTATGTGTTCAGACCTGTCTTATATGTGAGTCTGTATTATATGTTAGAAATCTGTATCATATGTTCAGATGCAGGGATGCTGCATATTTGTTGTTACAGTATGGGTTCTCTGAGAAGCGTGAAGTTCGACAATTCCAGTTTACTGCCTGGCCTGACCACGGTGTTCCGGATCACCCCACCCCACTGTTGATGTTCATGAGACGGGTCAAGGCCAGCAACCCTCCAGATGCTGGATCCATTATTGTACACTGCAGGTTGGTCATTGTTTGTTAGTGGGAAATCATGGTCAAGTGGTACAACACAAAACTAGCGCTGTCATGAAATTATGTTTAGTGCAGTGGAAAGAATCGTGCAGCAGGGAGTGATCAGCTGATTTGGCCAACACTCTACACTCAGAGAACAGCTGATCTGGCCAACACTGTACACTCAGAGAACAGCTGATCTGGCCAACACTCTACACTCAGAGAACAGCTGATCTGGCCAACACTCTACACTCAGAGAACAGCTGATCTGGCCAACACTCTACACTCAGAGAACAGCTGATCTGGCCAACACTCTACACCCAGAGAACAGGTGAGACAGAGATGCAATCAGACCAATACTAGTAGCATCAGAATTGGAACTATGCAAACAATGATTGCTGTATCAGAAGACTAAGTACCCCCCTAGGAATGCCTAGTGTTCATTGATATTAACTCTTAGAGTCCTAGGGGGTTTAGCATCAGAGGCCCAAGGGGTAGTCAAGAGAGATGTGAAATCAGCGCATCTTGCATTCATTGGGCCTCTAGGCGGGAACCTATGAACGTATGATGCGTTCCTTGGGACTCAAAGAGTTAATAACGTAACAAAATAACACATCTCGTAATATTAATGTTAAATCTTGGTTTATTGTCAAATGTCACTTAGTGTCTAGTTTATTATGGTCATGAATTTTGACAGTGCTGGAGTTGGCCGAACCGGAGCTTTTATAGTCATTGATGCCATGCTGGAGCGGATCAAGCACGAGATGACCGTCGACATCTACGGCCACGTCACTTGTCTGCGAGCTCAGAGGAACTACATGGTCCAGACTGAAGATCAGTACATCTTCATCCATGATGCTCTCTTGGAAGCTGTACAATGTGGCAACACAGAAGTCCCGGCAAGAAATCTGGCTGCCCACATACAGAAACTGACCGCACCAGAACCGGGTCAGGCCATCACAGGCATGGAGCTGGAGTTCAAGGTTAGATATTAGTTGATTTTTTAACATAATATTTTGCAACCAATTTTGGGGATCTGTCGTGTTACAGTAGTTTAAGTTTTAGTTGAGCATCACATATTGTTTTCTTGGTCTTGTTCTTCTCCTGCATTTTGCTGTTAAAAGGGTGATTAGTACATTGTTTTATGGTTTACATGCCGTAATATTTGTGCCTTTGAGCCCAACACATCCAGTTTCAGCCTGCCATTGATTAATCACCTTTAAGGGCATGCTTGTTGAAGAGCAGTGGGTCATCTGTTTCAACCTCGACGCCCTCCCAAAAATGAAGTGCTAGAACCCGCACAGAGTGCTTTCTTGGTTCTACAAAATCTACATGAAGGCAGCCACCCTTTTTTATGTCACACAAAACTCCATTTTAGAGTGGATTTATATGTACCTCTTGTACATACCTCCTTAATAGGGCACACTTTATTTCACCCTTCATACATACTTTCTTACTAGAACATACTTTAATTCACCCTTCATACATACCTTCTTACTAGAACATACTTTAATTCACCCTTCATACATACCTCATTACTAGGGCAGACTTTATTTCACCCTTCATACAGACCTCCTTACTGGAGCACACTTAAATCTGTCCCTTTTACATACCTCCTTGCTAGGACACATTCTGATCCAAACTTCATTTTCTGTTATATATTTTAATCATGGGAGATAGAAAGAAAGTGATGGGAGAGATTATGCCAACATTCTTTTTTTAACTTGCAAACTATCACCTCGGGTGCATGAAAGGAAACAATAGACACATTCAGTATATTTCTTGTTTATCCTGCCATCCACAGAGATTGGCTAATGTCAAGGCCAGCCCTAACAGATTTGTGAGTGCCAACCTGGCAGTGAACAAGTTCAAGAACCGACTGGTCAACATTCTGCCATGTGAGTTGCTGTGTTTGTTTAATTCAGGGACAGTATGGATAGATACAGAACATTGGTTTCCATAATTTAAAAACATGAATTCTGAACCTTGAAGATCTCTATCAGTATCACATCTGGGTCTCTTTCCAGCGCAGTAACTGTCAGGACTGTACCCTCATTGCCACATCTAGGTCTCTTTCTTGTGCAGTTACTGCCGGGACTGTACCCTCATTGCTACATCTAGGTCTCTTTCTATCAGTTACTGCCGGGACTGTACCCTCACTGCCACATCTAGGTCTCTTTCTTGTGCAGTTACTGCCGGGACTGTACCCTCATTGCCACATAGAGGTCTCTTTCTAGTGCAGTTACTGTCGGGACTGTACCCTCATTGCCACATCTAGGTCTCTTTCTTGTGCAGTTACTGCCGGGACTGTACCCTCATTGCTACATCTAGGTCTCTTTCCAGGACAGTTACTGTCGGGACTGTACCCTCATTGCTACATCTAGGTCTCTTTCTATCAGTTACTGCCGGGACTGTACCCTCACTGCCACATCTAGGTCTCTTTCTATCAGTTACTGCCGGGACTGTACCCTCACTGCCACATCTAGGTCTCTTTCTTGTGCAGTTACTGCCGGGACTGTACCCTCATTGCCACATAGAGGTCTCTTTCTAGTGCAGTTACTGTCGGGACTGTACCCTCATTGCCACATCTAGGTCTCTTTCTTGTGCAGTTACTGCCGGGACTGTACCCTCATTGCTACATCTAGGTCTCTTTCCAGGACAGTTACTGTCCGGACTGTACCCTCATTGCCACATCTAGGTCTCTTTCTAGTGCAGTTACTGCCGGGACTGTACCCTCATTGCTACATCTAGGTCTCTTTCCAGGACAGTTACTGTCCGGACTGTACCCTCACTGCCACATCTAGGTCTCTTTCCAGCGCAGTTACTGCCGGGACTGTACCCTCATTGCCACATCTAGGTCTCTTTCTTGTGCAGTTACTGCCGGGACTGTACCCTCATTGCTACATCTAGGTCTCTTTCCAGGACAGTTACTGTCCGGAATGTACCCTCATTGCCACATCTAGGTCTCTTTCTAGTGCAGTTACCACCGGGACTGTACCCTCATTGCTACATCTAGGTCTCTTTCTAGTGCAGTTACCGCCGGGACTGTACCCTCATTGCCACATCTAGGTCTCTTTCCAGGACAGTTACTGTCGGGACTGTACCCTCATTGCCACATCTAGGTCTCTTTCCAGCGCAATTACTGTCGGGACTGTACCCTCATTGCTACATCTAGGTCTCTTTCCAGGACAGTTACTGTCCGGACTGTACCCTCATTGCCACATCTAGGTCTCTTTCCAGGACAGTTACTGTCGGGACTGTACCCTCATTGCCACATCTAGGTCTCTTTCCAGCGCAATTACTGCCGGGACTGTACCCTCATTGCTACATCTAGGTCTCTTTCCAGGACAGTTACTGTCGGGACTGTACCCTCATTGCTACATCTAGGTCTCTTTCCAGCGCAGTTACCGCCGGGACTGTACCCTCATTGCCACATCTAGGTCTCTTTCTAGTGCAGTTACTGCTGGGACTGTACCCTCACTGCCACATCTAGGTCTCTTTCTAGTGCAGTTACTGCTGGGACTGTACCCTCATTGCTACATCTAGGTCTCTTTCCAGCGCAGTTACTTCCGGGACTGTACCCTCATTGCCACTTCTAGGTCTGTTTCTTGTGCAGTTACTGCCGGGACTGTACCCTCATTGCTACATCTCATTGAAATCTCACATAAACTGAGTTCAGCTTGTTATTTGTTTGTTTTCTAGTTTATTTTTTGTCGTAATGACTTTTTTCCTGTATTTTTAGACTACTTCTTTATGATTTTGTTTGTATTTATTGTTGTTCTTCTGTTTGGTTTTATTTTGTTTACTTTGTTAGAATATTTTAAAGTTTATAATGTTTAGAATAAAAGAGAATACTGAACATAGATTTTGTTGTTCCTCTTTACTGTCGAGTGGTTAAGAGGAAAATGAACACGATTTTAAGATCCTTTATAGCACAGGGTAGAGGAGAAAAGACTAAACAATCCACTCTACAAAAAAGGAACGTTTAAACAAGGCTGTTAGGACAACACCTAGGAGTAGAATACATCTACTTCCTGGATAGACGAGGAAGGACTGATTGAGATTGTCAGGTACCTCTGTGTCCCCTGGGTGGAAGAAGGGCTGAATGAGATTCTCAGATACCTCTGTGTCCCCTGGGTGGAAGAAGAAGGACTAATTGAGATTCTCAGATACCTCTGTGTCCCCTGGGTGGAAGAAGAAGGACTGATTGAGATTCTCAGGTACCTCTGTGTCCCCTGGGTGGAAGAAGAAGGACTAATTGAGATTCTCAGGTACCTCTGTGTCCCCTGGGTGGAAGAAGAAGGACTAATTGAGATTCTCAGGTACCTCTGTGTCCCCTGGGTGGAAGAAGAAGGACTGAATGAGATTCTCAGATACCTCTGTGTCCCCTGGGTGGAAGAAGAAGGACTGAATGAGATTCTCAGATACCTCTGTGTCCCCTGGGTGGAAGAAGAAGGACTGAATGAGATTCTCAGATACCTCTGTGTCCCCTGGGTGGAAGAAGAAGGACTGATTGAGATTCTCAGGTACCTCTGTGTCCCCTGGGTGGAAGAAGAAGGACTAATTGAGATTCTCAGGTACCTCTGTGTCCCCTGGGTGGAAGAAGAAGGACTAATTGAGATTCTCAGGTACCTCTGTGTCCCCTGGGTGGAAGAAGAAGGACTGAATGAGATTCTCAGATACCTCTGTGTTCCCTGGGTGGAAGAAGAAGGACTGAATGAGATTCTCAGATACCTCTGTGTCCCCTGGGTGGAAGAAGAAGGACTGAATGAGATTCTCAGGTACCTCTTTGTCCCTTTGGTGGAAGAGGAAGGACTGAATGAGATTTTCAGGTACCTCTGTGTCCCCTGGGCGGAAAATGGAGGAGGTAGGATTAATTATTGGTATTTCAGTATATTTAACAATGACGTGTAATGTGACATTGCCTTTTGAACTCTGTTTGGCATGTAATGTGACATTGTCTCTTGAACTCTGTTTGGCATGTTATGTGACATTGTCTCTTGAACTCTGTTTCACATGTAATGTGACATTCCCTTTTGAACTCTGTTTTGCATGTAATGTGACATTGCCTCTTGAACTCTTCTACTCCACCAGATGAAACCACCAGAGTTTGCTTACAACCAATCCGAGGTGTTGACGGTTCCGACTACATTAATGCCAGTTTTATTGATGTGAGCTCCATGTTTGTTTGTCTCTAGCCTTCTCAGCTCTGTCTCTAACTTTGTTTATTAGTCTCTAGCTTTCTCAGTTCTGTCTCTAACTTTGTTTATTTGTCTCTAGCCTTCTCAGTTCTGTCTCTAACTTTGTTTATTTGTCTCTAGCCTTCTCAGTTCTGTCTCTAACTTTGTTTATTTGTCTCTTACCTTCTCAGTTCTGTCTCTAACTTTGTTTATTTGTTTCTAACTTTGTTTATTTGTCTCTAACCTTCTCAGTTCTGTCTCTAACTTTGTTTATTTGTACACAGATCACAGGTGAATCCACTTACAGCATTCGGACAATAGACGTTGACATATTCACAGCTGGCTTTGACAATCAAACAGGGTACCATCACAGCTGGCCTTCTCGATCATTCATTCCTCGCCGATTCAGATCCACATGCTCTAGTCATTCTCCATTCATATTCACAGCTTCATTTTCCATACTTTCTCTCTGGGGCCCAGTCACCGAATGCCCGCCTGATTCTCAATCCCCCAGATCTCCTCATTCACACGTGACACACTCTTTCCTGTCGTTTCACCATATCTCCGTGAAACCCATGCTCTCAGGGACTTCCCCAGTTATGCCAATCATCCCCTGACATTATCCCTATTTATAACATCATTACAAGGGTTATCACTACAAGAAAGCTTACATAAACATGTCTCCCTTTGGTTATCACTACAAGAAAACTTACATAAACATAATTTCTCTTCAGGGTTATCGCTACAAGAAAGCTTACATAAACATAATTTCTCTTCAGGATTATCGCTACAAGAAAGCTTACATAAACATAATTTCTCTTCAGGGTTATCACTACAAGAAAGCTTACATAAACATGTCTCCCTTTGGTTATCACTACAAGAAAGCTTACATAAACATAATTTCTCTTCAGGGTTATCGCTACAAGAAAGCTTACATAAACATAATTTCTCTTCAGGATTATCGCTACAAGAAAGCGTACATAAACATAATTTCTCTTCAGGGTTATCGCTACAAGAAAGCTTACATAGCAACTCAAGGACCATTGGCCGAGACCACAGAGGATTTTTGGAGAATGTTATGGGAACACAACTCCACCATCATTGTCATGCTGACCAAGCTGCGAGAGATGGGAAGGGTAAGACCTGACTCATTTGTTTTACCAACATATTTTGTTTGTTTTGTGTTGTTGGTGGGGGTGGTGTTTTTCATCAACTGAGTTGCTTCCACAGGGTAATTCTAAAATCTGCGCCTCACTAAATAACAGAGTGTGCATGTTTACTCTACCAGCCCATTATGGGTGATATACTTGGCAGAATGTTTAGCTTTGGGATAATTTTTGCTCCTGACAGTGCTTTGCTAATGTAGTTTCCACAAATGGATGGAAGTTTACAGTTTTGCTTCCTGCGCTTCTGAGTTAAGTGCTTGGTGCAGCATTGTGAGCTGTGATTTTCATGTGTAATGCCTTCAATTTGTGCAGCTGTTGTGTCCTGGTATTCAGTATCTTGGGTAACCAGTTTACATGTGGGCTGGCAAAATGCCTTATCTACGAGGGGAAGTCAACAAGTGAGACACAAATGGTTCTTTAAAAAAAAAAAAAAAAACTAAAGACAATAACAACTTAAAAACTGTTTATATTTTACACATAAACTTTCCCTTTATTTTTCAACACAATATCCACCAACATTGATGAACTTGTCTCATGATTTTATCAGTCCTCCCAAGAGAAAATCGATGGGGGCTAAGTCGGGACTGTAAGATGGTTGTTCAAGAGGCTCCCACCCTAGATAGTTAATTTCCTCTTGAGTTAACTAAACCGAATGTGGTCTAGTATTGTCATGAAGGAGCAGTACTCCTCTAGTCAGTAGGCCTGGATGTTGTCTTTGAATTGCATCATGAAGTATCAATAGAACTTTACAGTATGAATTAGGGCTGTACCGAATATTCGCTTCGTATTCGCTTCGGGGCCGAACAGTGGACCTATTGACTATTCGGTATTCGGCCGAATAGTTGTGGTCGGGCCGAATACGAATAGTTGTTACCTTACACCAGCTTCTGCATACACGGCCTTAATGCTGACATCATGGAATGATTGGTTTTGTTAAAAGCTAATGCAGCTTTCCTGCATCAACTAAGCTGTCAGTGACAATTTCCAAGTTTAGTTACTGGCTATAATACTTAGGATTCTTTCAATCCTAGTTATTAGTTACCACAGACTGACTGAAGGATGCAGAATATAAAATGTTTTTAAATGTTTACTATTATGTACAAATACTAACTAGACATGGAAAGAATATAAACTCCGGCCACATACAAGTCAATAATATGAAAATCAGACAAACGGAAACATAAAAGTACTTGGGTGCAAACTTCGAACTGTTCCAACATGCCGAGAGAAGAAATACAATCTAGAATACAATCTAGAAATAAAGTGTACTATGCCCTTCAACATCTGCTAAAGTCAAAGTGTCTCTCTCGCAACGTCAAGATCAAAATATATCAAACATTGAAAAGACCAGGCGTCTTCAAAGAAGAAGATGACTATTCTGTGCTACTTTATGTGAAGTAAAAGTTCAGCGTACATTTGACATTATGAATGTGTGTTTTTTTTGTTTTTTTAAAGATATATTTTATACACTATAGACTATTCGTATTCGTATTCGGACGAATAGTTGGTCCCGCTATTCGTATTCGGCCGAATAGTGAAAATCACTATTCGGTACAGCCCTAGTATGAATCAGCATTCACATTAAAAGCGCTCCTTAACAGTCCCAGAACACTGTCAGCCTAACCTTTCCTGGTGATGGCGTACCTTGCATTTTTTAACACAAGGTGAAGAAGGATATTTCCATTGCATTGAAGCAGGCTTTGATTCAGGTTGGTTGTGATGCACCCATGATTAGTCCCTAGTAATAATCGTGTTCAGCATGTCTTCTCCTTCATCTACATATCAACAGAGATGCTGCAAGGACAGGCCTAATCGCTTCATTTTGTGTCATCCATCAATTGTCTGAGTACCCACCTTGAGCACACTTTTTAACATTTTAATCAATCATGCTTTATGTTGCTGAACCATGTGAGCACCCTATTGCAGCTGCTACAGGGTCAACCTTACTCGCCTGTCACTTCTTCTCATCTCTTCCACCTGCTGCACAGATGCGTCTTTGCAATCTCAACAGGACAACCAGATCGAACTTTATCAACAATTTCAGAGCGCCCTTGAGAAATTTTTTTACCCAGCCATGCACTAATTTACAAGATAAACATTTGTCAACATAAACAGGAAGCATTTCCTTATGAATGTCCTTTGCAGGCAGCCCTTTTGTGGGATTTATAGCCTGGCTGTGTAACTGTCAACCAGTCCATTCTTGAAATGGTCACAGAACCAACATGGGCATTTGACTCTGTTAAACATGCAAGTATTAAACATGCAAACCCTGGGACACTTCAAGATTTAGACACAGGCAAATATTTTTCTTATGCAAAAGCAGCAAACAAAAGCATATTTAATATTACCACACAGAGTTTAGTCTTTTTATTCTTCTTCACGTTCACTGGCTGTAAACTCCGGCAGAAAGCTCTGGTTGTTCATTCACTTCTTGACTCTAGTCCTATTGCAGAAACTGAGTGTTGCATGCGCATCTGTTTGACAGGTCTAGCTCATTTGCATGCAGACTGTTGGTTCCTTACCTCTCAGGCAGTTGTACTCTGACATCGAATGAAGCTCCCAATTAGTTGACTCTTAGGACATGCTTTTGGGCAGGCAGTGGATCTGATCTTGTTTTCCCCTTAATGGGGCCCCCGAACCCACACTGGGGAACAGAGTTAGTTGGTAGCCACCTTTCCGTCTTTCCAGATTATAGCGTTATATTGTGCTATGAGGAAGCGTGGGACTCGCAGCCCACGGCGATGGCGAGTGTGACTAGCAGGACCCGCCTGCGTTAAGTCTTCCACAATTATAGCATGAGATTTCAAGACCATTGTTGTCAACATTTGTGTTTAGTCTGTTTCTTCTCAGATGCTCAGCTCTCATTCTTACTGCAATAATCTTTACATTCTCATTCCCTTCCTGATTTGTCCCATCCATGCAACACGATTCATGGCAATTTTTTCCCACCTGATACCTGTATCATTCATGTCCTGCCTGCACACATCTTTATTTCCTAGTTGGGGTGGCCTTGACATCTTCTGCCCATTTGTAATTCATCATTGACGATGTCCTTTGGGACTCTGTCATGCAGATTAACAAATTATGTAATACTTATAATTTTTACTATATTATTATGCGCTGACCACAGGTCACTTGTTTATGTTTGCAGGAGAAATGTCACCAGTACTGGCCCAGTGAGCGGTCAGCCAGGTATCAGTACTTTGTGGTGGACCCCATGACAGAGTACAATATGCCACAGTACATTCTCAGAGAGTTCAAGGTTACAGATGCCAGGGTATGACCTTTCTTTTTCTCCCAATATTTTTATATAGTTTATCTCATTGTCTGTGTCTCATGGTGTTATCTCATTTAATGCCTATGTCTTGTGGTGTTTCTCATTGTTTATTTATGGTACGTGGTGTTATTATATGTCCATGTCCCATGGTGTTATAGCATTGTATGTCCCATGGTGTTATTTCATTGTATGTCCCATGGTGTTATTTCATTGTATTTCCCATGGTGTTATTTCATTGTATGTCCTATGGTGTTATAGCATTGCATGTCCCATGGTGTTATGTCATTGTATGTCCCATGGTATTATAGCATTGTATGTCCCATAGTATTATATCATTGTATGTCCTATGGTGTTATATCATTGAATGTCCCATGGTGTTATATCATTGTATGTCCCATGGTGGTATATCATTGTATGTCCCATGGCGTTATATCATTGTATGTCCTATGGTGTTATATCATTGTATGTCTTTTGGTGTTGTCATTGTATATTCCATGGTGTTATATTATTATAAGTTCCATATTGTTATATTATTGTATGTCCTATGGTGTTGTCTTATTATATGTCCCATGATGTTATTCTGTATCCCGTATTGTTGTGTCATTCTATGTCCATGTCTCTTATTGTCTATAGTCAGACTTGATCTGTAATGTTACATATTATCTACATTACTAGGATGGTCAGTCTAGAACCATCAGACAGTTCCAGTTCACTGACTGGCCAGAACAGGGAGTACCAAAATCAGGGGAAGGATTCATTGACTTCATTGGCCAAGTTCACAAAACCAAAGAGCAGTTTGGTCAGGAGGGACCAATCTCAGTTCACTGCAGGTGGGTGATGCTTCTGTCTGTGTTGTGTTTACCTGTTGGGATATTTGCTAGTAGTGATTGCATCTGACATCTGTGTTTTTCATTGACTGGAGCCATCCTAGGAGCGCTGGTTGAGAGTTAGGCTGTTAGGCAGGAGTCCTAAACTGCACAGTTCAGGGAGACTGAACTATTCATGCGACCTTAAATTCCTCAGCCCCTGCCCCCTCACCCGCCCCCCTCCCAAAGTGGTAAGTACAGATAGTGAAGACAGATAACCTTGCCAGGTTGGCACCAACTTGAAGCTGAAGACATGCCAGAAAAATGATCCCAACACAGGACAAAACTGAACAATTATTACTTCTAATTGTCTTGCCTTGATTTTGAGCTGAAATGCTACATAAAGATTCTCAGAATAACATCGACAATAAAGAGCAAATTACTGACCGAAGATCTCTGCATTGGGAAAGATTGGCTAGTAAACTGAAATATATTTGGCATTACAAGTACCACAGTAACATGGGGAAAAAATGATAATAGCAGAAGAGGGCCAGGGGCAAAACAGCAAAAAGATGGGCACAGAATAGAAGTGATACCTTGGGTAGGAAATGCATGAAGTGGGAGAGCTGGTGAGAGACTAAGTGATGAGAGCAATGTTCTGTACGGACCTCTGACATTCTGATGATTTTTATCTTAGAGTTAGGGTATTCGTGTCTCACTGCAATCTTCTGCCTCATGTCATCTCTGATATAGATGTTCTTTCAATGCCAAAATGCCAGACTGTCTAGAATCTCATCTCTGTCTAGTATCTCATACAGTATGCCTGTATGTATGTATGTATGTATGTATGTATGTATGTATGTATGTATGTATGTATGTATGTATGTATGTATGTATGTATGTATGTATGTATGTATGTATGTATGTATGTATGTATGTATGTATGTATGTATGTATGTATGTATGTATGTATGTATGTATGTATGTATGTATGTATGTATGTATGTATGTATGTATGTATGTATGTATGTATGTATGTATGTATGTATGTATGTATGTATGTATGTATGTATGTATGTATGTATGTATGTATGTATGTATGTATGTATGTATGTATGTATGTATGTATGTATGTATGTATGTATGTATGTATGTATGTATGTATGTATGTATGTATGTATGTATGTATGTATGTATGTATGTATGTATGTATGTATGTATGTATGTATGTATGTATGTATGTATGTATGTATGTATGTATGTATGTATGTATGTATGTATGTATGTATGTATGTATGTATGTATGTATGTATGTATGTATGTATGTATGTATGTATGTATGTATGTATGTATGTATGTATGTATGTATGTATGTATGTATGTATGTATGTATGTATGTATGTATGTATGTATGTATGTATGTATGTATGTATGTATGTATGTATGTATGTATGTATGTATGTATGTATGTATGTATGTATGTATGTATGTATGTATGTATGTATGTATGTATGTATGTATGTATGTATGTATGTATGTATGTATGTATGTATGTATGTATGTATGTATGTATGTATGTATGTATGTATGTATGTATGTATGTATGTATGTATGTATGTATGTATGTATGTATGTATGTATGTATGTATGTATGTATGTATGTATGTATGTATGTATGTATGTATGTATGTATGTATGTATGTATGTATGTATGTATGTATGTATGTATGTATGTATGTATGTATGTATGTATGTATGTATGTATGTATGTATGTATGTATGTATGTATGTATGTATGTATGTATGTATGTATGTATGTATGTATGTATGTATGTATGTATGTATGTATGTATGTATGTATGTATGTATGTATGTATGTATGTATGTATGTATGTATGTATGTATGTATGTATGTATGTATGTATGTATGTATGTATGTATGTATGTATGTATGTATGTATGTATGTATGTATGTATGTATGTATGTATGTATGTATGTATGTATGTATGTATGTATGTATGTATGTGTATGTATGTATGTATGTATGTATGTATGTATGTATGTATGTATGTATGTATGTATGTATGTATGTATGTATGTATGTATGTATGTATGTATGTATGTATGTATGTATGTATGTATGTATGTATGTATGTATGTATGTATGTATGTATGTATGTATGTATGTATGTATGTATGTATGTATGTATGTATGTATGTATGTATGTATGTATGTATGTATGTATGTATGTATGTATGTATGTATGTATGTATGTATGTATGTATGTATGTATGTATGTATGTATGTATGTATGTATGTATGTATGTATGTATGTATGTATGTATGTATGTATGTATGTATGTATGTATGTATGTATGTATGTATGTATGTATGTATGTATGTATGTATGTATGTATGTATGTATGTATGTATGTATGTATGTATGTATGTATGTATGTATGTATGTATGTATGTATGTATGTATGTATGTATGTATGTATGTATGTATGTATGTATGTATGTATGTATGTATGTATGTATGTATGTATGTATGTATATGTATGTATGTATGTATGTATGTATGTATGTATGTATGTATGTATGTATGTATGTATGTATGTATGTATGTATGTATGTATGTATGTATGTATGTATGTATGTATGTATGTATGTATGTATGTATGTATGTATGTATGTATGTATGTATGTATGTATGTATGTATGTATGTATGTATGTATGTATGTATGTATGTATGTATGTATGTATGTATGTATGTATGTATGTATGTATGTATGTATGTATGTATGTATGTATGTATGTATGTATGTATGTATGTATGTATGTATGTATGTATGTATGTATGTATGTATGTATGTATGTATGTATGTATGTATGTATGTATGTATGTATGTATGTATGTATGTATGTATGTATGTATGTATGTATGTATGTATGTATGTATGTATGTATGTATGTATGTATGTATGTATGTATGTATGTATGTATGTATGTATGTATGTATGTATGTATGTATGTATGTATGTATGTATGTATGTATGTATGTATGTATGTATGTATGTATGTATGTATGTATGTATGTATGTATGTATGTATGTATGTATGTATGTATGTATGTATGTATGTATGTATGTATGTATGTATGTATGTATGTATGTATGTATGTATGTATGTATGTATGTATGTATGTATGTATGTATGTATGTATGTATGTATGTATGTATGTATGTATGTAATGTATGCATGCATGTATATGTGTGTAAGTGAGTGGGTGAGCGTGTGTATGTGGGTGTATGTATGCACACGCGGGTTTTTGCATGCACTTTACAACTCATGCTTTTGTGTTCTTTTATAATATTCGTAATATGCATAACATCATATGATCATAACATGCTTTATTAGTAAAATACAACTGCTGTGCGAAAGATGGTTGACTGGAAGAACCGAATGTAAGACAGGCCTGTGTGCCCAATTTGTGACCCTTTGAAAATAAAGTTTGTTTGTTCGTTCATTCGTTCGTTCGTTCGTTCTCTTATGGTCTCTCCCTGCCTCTCACTCCCTTCAGCTTACCCATTGAAGCATTAAAATCCAATGTTTTTCCCTTCTCGTCACATGCTAAACAATTTCAGTCCCAGCGAGTGCATCACAAGTTCATAGATGTCTACCTAGAAACCTAATAAACACAAGATACGTCAGTTTTACGACTGTTTTCACCACCCCTTAGGCCTCTGATGCCAAACCCCCTTGGACTGAAAGAGTTAACGTATGTACATAGTCCACCTTGGATGTGGATGAGTTCTCTCTTTGTGAGCAAAGTTCTTTCCAAAATATTTTCATTACAGTTTTTAATAGAATAGGCAGCCATGATTACGGTTTTTAGTAGTGGCAATTTTTGCTTCTGACAAAAGTTAGCCATTGCATTTTCCGCCCTTGGTAGACTGAAAAGATAGTTTCATTACCGAGCTACTAACTGGGGTGCATGGCACAACACTGTGAGCTGAGGATTTTAGTTAGTATGCCTTTTGACAGTGCCAGATATTATTTGTACTGTGAACTGCAGATTCATAAAATGGAGCCTGGCCTGTAGCCATAAAACTAGTGGTGCCTAATGTGATAAATTGCTAGTGCCGCTACTTATGCAAAGTATGGTGTACAGATTAGCCATTTTTTTTATTTTTCTTTCTCATGTTTGTTTTTTTGTGATTGCAGTGCTGGAGTGGGTAGAACAGGTGTGTTTATCACCTTGAGCATCGTGCTGGAAAGAATGAGATACGAAGGTGTGGTGGACATGTTTCAGACAGTGAAAATGTTGCGGACCCAGAGACCTGCTATGGTACAGACTGAGGTAGGTCTGGCTTGTATACACTGTCATGTTGGTGTGTTAGTATATGTTTGGCTGTGACCCCATGTTTGTATCTGTTTGGCTGTGATTGCAGGTTTGTATCTGTTTGGCTGTGACTGCAGGTTTGTTTGTTTGTTTGGCTTATGACCCCAGTTGTGTGTGTTTGGTCAACAAGATTGTTCTGTGCTTGAAATGTCAATTCCTAATAGTTAAGAAGTCTTTATCCATGCCATGGAGTGGGTTAAGGCATATGGTGCCAGCAATGTATTTATGTAGAATAGATGGCTGAGGTCATCGGTAACATGTCATCCACATTTACTGCCTGGTATCCATTTTGGGGCGGGTGGATCTGTTAGATGCATTCTTAGAAGGTAATGCATCTTACCAAGCTCCGAGGGTGTATGACTAGCTCCAGTCGCATACAAGAGCTCCTTCAGACGACTATTAGATTCCTACAGGAGGGCAAGAAGAGGCCAGCCCAAACAAGAGCACCACTAAAATGAAGGCACACATCACACATTACCATTTCCTTAAGTACTGTTACAAACTACACCACATTGTCTACATGTACAGTTACAAACTACACCACACTGTCTACGAGTACTGTTACAAACTACACCACATTGTCTACGAGTACAGTTACAAACTACACCACACTGTCTACGAGTACTGTTACAAACTACACCACATTGTCTACGAGTACAGTTACAAACTACACCACACTGTCTACGAGTACTGTTACAAATTACACCACACTGTCTACGAGTACTGTTACAAATTACACCACACTGTCTACGAGTACTGTTATAAATTACACCACACTGTCTACGAGTACTGTTACAAATTACACCACACTGTCTACGAGTACTGTTACAAATTACACCACACTGTCTACGAGTGCTGTGTCAAACAGTTTGTGACCTGTGTTAAACAGTTTATGTGTCCTGTGTTAAACAGTTTGTGACCTGTGTTAAACAGTTTATGTGTCCTGTGTTAAACAGTTTATGTGTCCTGTGTTAAACAGTTTATGTGTCCTGTGTTAAACAGTTTATGTTTCCTGTGTTAAACAGTTTATGTTTCCTGTGTTAAACAGTTTATGTGTCCTGTGTTAAACAGTTTATGTGTCCTGTGTTAAACAGTTTATGTTTCCTGTGTTAAACAGTTTATGTTTCCTGTGTTAAACAGTTTATGTTTCCTGTGTTAAACAGTTTATGTGTCCTGTGTTAAACAGTTTATGTTTCCTGTGTTAAACAGTTTATGTGTCCTGTGTTAAACAGTTTGTGACCTGTGTTAAACAGTTTATGTTTCCTGTGTTAAACAGTTTATGTGTCCTGTGTTAAACAGTTTATGTGTCCTGTGTTAAACAGTTTATGTGTCCTGTGTTAAACAGTTTATGTGTCCTGTGTTAAACAGTTTATGTTTCCTGTGTTAAACAGTTTATGTGACCTGTGTTAAACAGTTTATGTGTCCTGTGTTAAACAGTTTATGTTTCCTGTGTTAAACAGTTTATGTGTCCTGTGTTAAACAGTTTATGTGTCCTGTGTTAAACAGTTTATGTGTCCTGTGTTAAACAGTTTATGTTTCCTGTGTTAAACAGTTTATGTGTCCTGTGTTAAACAGTTTATGTGTCCTGTGTTAAACAGTGTATGTGTCCTGTGTTAAACAGTTTATGTGTCCTGTGTTAAACAGTTTGTGACCTGTGTTAAACAGTTTATGTTTCCTGTGTTAAACAGTTTATGTGTCCTGTGTTAAACAGTTTATGTGTCCTGTGTTAAACAGTTTATGTTTCCTGTGTTAAACAGTTTATGTGTCCTGTGTTAAACAGTTTATGTGTCCTGTGTTAAACAGTTTATGTGTCCTGTGTTAAACAGTTTATGTGTCCTGTGTTAAACAGTTTATGTGTCCTGTGTTAAACAGTTTATGTGTCCTGTGTTAAACAGTTTATGTGTCCTGTGTTAAACAGTGAATGACATAATATCTTCTTGTGTCTCTTCAGGACCAGTTCCAGTTTTGCTATCGAGCTGCCCTAGAGTACCTGGGCTCATTTGATCATTATGCTAACTAAACAGACACGGACACTGTCTACATCATGCTAAATGTGTCAGTGACTCCGTTCTCAGAGTGAAAGACAAGACCCATAGACAACAAGACTCTTTGCATTTCATCACTTTCTAGTTTGGCTCCGTTTGGTGTATAGTTTAGTGGTTCATCATTTGATCAGATCACGAAACAATGGCGTCAGTCATTATTTGTGCTCTTGGTAATTGTGTTGTTGAAGTTCTGGGAAGTGTTTCTTCTGGATTATTGTATGTGTTGGATCATTCGCAAGAAGGACCAGTATAAATGTCTTCACTGGAACATGGCTTCTTGATGACTGTGGCACTGCTTGCTAGAGTTGCATTGTGTTAAAAATATGGTTCTGAATATCTTATGGTGAACTCAAATTTGAGAGCTACAGAAACTAATGGCAACACTAGGAAACAAACATTGGACAGTAAGGAAATGATGTCTGCAAACCAAGCTAGTAAACATCTGGGCTTCATTTTCAAATATTGGAAAATATTTATTATATTTGGCTTGGGTTGAATTGATGGTAAATATCGTGGTTTTTGTACACTTCTACATTGATGTGTGTGTTTCTATATATGACTTTGTGTCATGGATTAGTTACATGGATGAGTGAGTTATACACATTTCATTGGAACATACTATGTTTTGTTTGAATGTACTTAGTAAAAGATATGTGTTAACTGAAGTGTTCAAGTAGAAAGGGCTTGCCATCTGTGTGGACAGTTGCAGTGTTCAGTCGTGGCAATGGGTAACTAACTAGCTTTTAGATACTGTGTAAAGTTAGGAAGATGAAATTTGTGTCCAAGATATTATTGGAAGAATTTATGAGCTTTAATAAATATGTGATTTTCTGATGGAAAAATTGTAACCTGAATCAATAACTGAATTCTGTAAGCACATGGATACCACTTACATTTTCTGCAAAATTATCGATTGATTCAATCTTGTCAGCTTTCAACATTGGTCAGAATATCAGTGGCAAAAGATGATTGTGGATAGGGATTAGTTTGAATGTCTTTAAATGACAAATTTAATGGGCAACTACACATTTCCCAGTTGTGGTATTTGCTGATATCTCTAGTCAGATATTGTAGTTTCATTAATGGGACATCCCAAAGGGGAGCCGGCTGCAGATATTTGCTGGCCATGTGGGATAGTTCTCTAGGGAGGTCTGAATGATTAGTATGGAGTTTAAGCACCAGGGACTTATGTCTCTAGCAGGCAATGTGAACAGCAACAGCTGGACAGGGCATCAGTCTCCTGCGGCAATCGCTATTATGGATCTGTTCGAGTGACATTCTGCCAGCATCATCTGATAAACAAACACCTTCCAGATTTTCCTGAGTGGATCATTGATCATACAGTGTGTGTCACATACTGTTTTCTTAACGAGTGAATTAACTTCTCTCTGTGTCTGTGGATTCTGTTTTCATTCTGTGGATTACTCAGTTATGGATAGCAGTGGTAGAAATATCTCACACAAATAAGAATAAACCGAAAACTGGATATCAATGGATGTTCATAGATGTACACAGTGCAATGTCAAGTATACATCGTGCAATGTCAGATGTGCCACAAGTGTGAGTTAAACTCGTACAGTCCTATTCTCAGACAGACACCCCTGAGCACCAGTATATCATTTAGTATACAGATAGGATCCAAGAACATGATACTTTGAACATGAGCACCAGATCAGATCCAAGAGCATGATACTTTGAACATGAGCACAAGAACATGATACTTTGAACATGAGCACAAGAACATGATACTTTGAATGTGAGCACAAGAACATGATACTTTGAATGTGAGCACAAGAACATGATACTTTGAACATGAGCACCAAATCAGATCCAAGAACATGATACTTTGAACATGAGCACCAAATCAGATCCAAGAACATGATACTTTGAACATGAGCACAAGAACATGATACTTTGAATGTGAGCACAAGAACATGATACTTTGAATGTGAGCACAAGAACATGATACTTTGAACATGAGCACCAAATCAGATCCAAGAACATGATACTTTGAACATGAGCACCAGACCACCCTGAGCAAAGACATTTCAAAGACCCCAGGATCCAAGCATCTTTGATGAACCCACGACACCAGCGCTGAGAAACATTGTTCTGACAGGACCAGCTGTGCTCATTTTCATTGTACCCTTCTGTAGATTAGAATATAATGGCAACAAACTGTGAACACGTGAATGTACATTTATAAATAGCTGTGTCATTTTGTGTGCTCACTAAATCTCAATGTCATCATATCTGCGGCTTGTCATGACATCACACTTTGTCATTTTAGAGTTTGGTTTTCATATGTTAAAATTACAGTTATGACAGTTGTCATAGACCTGCTTACTGCCCTAATGGCAAGGGCTGGTTGGCTGCTCTATGACAATGATATATATCCTAAATACAACCCAGCTGGACACTGTCAGAACACACACTGTGGTCTTTAATGTAGGTACAGAGATCTGTTGGCACTTAGCCTCTGACGTGGTTCAAATTACAACCCTACCGCAACTGGCCGGAGGGCTTTAAAATTGTAGCTCATACAATGGTCATCCAGTTTTTCAAGCTTTAACCGGGTCCGAACCGGCAACCTGTGATCCCAACTCTGACCCCTGCTTCTCCAAGCTACCTCTTGACTGGTGCGTGACTGTAGTGGGTGTGATCGGACACAACAACACGCTGATACAGTGACCACGACATGATCATATTCTTCTTCTTAAACTGACAACGTCCCTTTTTGAGCCACCTCACTAAGATGGAGGCTACTTGATAGTGCTATCAATGATTCCGAGAATATTTCAATACTGCTATCAATCTTTAAGAGAACATCTGAATAGAGACATCAGGAGTTAGGAGAAATAATCTAAATGATGCTAAGACCATCTCTAGACTCTGTCTAGAAGTCTATAGGTGCTTGTCAAGACCAGCAACCTCCAGAAAACCTTGGTGGCTCCACCACAAGAACATCATGTTTTTAATGTGTTCAGAACAAAATGATCATAATATTATTCCTTCTCTAGTCGGACTGAGGCCAGGACTTTTGAGTTGGTACACTCCTTGGTTGTCTATTCTCATACTCGGGTACTTTAGAATTAGTTAAGTCTTTAGCCTGAGGTGGCGCATAGGGCATAGCTGTCCATGTCTGGTGGTTTGTTGCCACCTGCTTTAGGTCTTGGATGTTTGTCAGGCCCGTGGTTGAACCTTCCCTAATAATGGTTCTACGCAGAGTTAGCTATTTCCAGTGTCTTTTGTTGATACTTTCCTTTTAATTGAAGCCATGTAATCCTGGTTCTAGGTGGATTCTAGCAGTTGATGTTGCCAGCAAACTCCTCCCTCCTTCTGGTGGAGCAACATCACAAATTAAGCAGTAGAACATCCACAGACTCTCATATTTGTCTGTAGGACATAACAGTTGTATTTATCCATCACTGCTCGCCCCTACATACACATTTGTGAAGATTTCTCTTCAGTTGAAAATCACAATATTTACATACATTTTTCCTTTGTTTTGATGGAGATGAGTTCATGTTTTCACTCCAGTACAGCTCAGTATTGCAATTTTTTTTTTATATGGACCTTAATTTGTACTTACTTATATGCTGTTTTATATTAGCAAATGTTTGCACACTGTTGTTTGTGCAGATATCATCATCATCCAGATATGAAACCCTTATAGACAGATACTGTTGTTGCTCAGTGTGCAAGTGAGTGAAGAGATAACTTCTTATATCAGCTTTGTGTTGTTTAATGTGGCATGTATACAGCCTTGTTTGAAGCTGGCAGTTTGGATTTTGGTGTCCTGAACTTTTAGTGACATACAAGTGAGTGATGGGTAACTATGGCAGATCATGTATATGTGAGAGCAACTGAAATCTCAATAGGTTATATGAACTTTCCAGTAACTATGATGTTCCAGTAAGAACAGTTTGTTGCATTAAGTCTCAAGTTTTTTTTTTTTTTTAACACACACCAAAAAAAAACTTTTTTTTTTTAAATTTTTAAAGTTGTTACATAAAGGCTGTTATTGTTAAAATTAGTTATATTAACTCTCCAGTAGTTAAACCTGGTTATATAAACTCCCTAGTAGTTAAAGGTGGTTACATTAAAGTATCTCTTGTAGTTAAAAGTGGTTACATTAAAACTTTATTAGTTAAAAGTGGTTAGTAGTTGTAGTCAGCAACCATCTGTTTCAAGGGTGGTTACATAGTCTCTGTTAGTTAAAACTGGTTACGTAAGGTCTCCAGTAGTCAGAAATAACCCTATTAACTAACTCTGTGGTTGTCAAAAATAGTTACATAAAACCTCCAGTAGTTATAGGTGGTTACTTAAAATCTCCAGTAGTTATGGGTGGTTATATACAATCTCCAGTAGTTATAGGTGGTTACATACAATCTCCAGTAGCTATAGGTGGTTAAATACAATCTCCAGTAGTTATAGGTGGTTACATACAATCTCCAGTAGTTATAGGTGGTTACATACAATCTCCAGTAGTTATAGGTGGTTACATACAATCTCCAGTAGTTATAGGTGGTTACATACAATCTCCAGTAGTTATAGGTGGTTATATACAATCTCCAGTAGTTATAGGTGGTTACATACAATCTCCAGTAGTTATAGGTGGTTATATACAATCTCCAGTAGTTACGGGTGGTTACATACAATCTCCAGTAGTTATAGGTGGTTATATACAATCTCCAGTAGTTATAGGTGGTTACATACAATCTCCAGTAGTTATAGGTGGTTATATACAATCTCCAGTAGTTATAGGTGGTTACATACAATCTCCAGTAGTTATAGGTGGTTATATACAATCTCCAGTAGTTATAGGTGGTTACATACAATCTCCAGTAGTTATAGGTGGTTATATACAATCTCCAGTAGTTACGGGTGGTTACATACAATCTCCAGTAGTTATAGGTGGACACATAAAATCTCCAGTAGCTATAGGTAGTTACATACAATCTCCAGTAGCTAT